TTCTAAACACTCCAATCAAAAGGCAGAGTTTGATTAGATTAAAAACCAGGACCTAATATATGTTGTCTTTAAAAAAACATCTTTAAATATAAAGACACATTCCTTCCAGCAGAAGTGTGAAGAAAACTCAATAATTAAATATAAAGATACAAGCAGGTTAAAAGTAAAAGGACAGAAAAAATAGAGTGTGCTAATAGTAATCAAAAGAAAGCTGGAATGGCCATGTTAATATCAGAAAAATAGACTTTAGAACAAGGAATATTACCAGGGATAAAGCAGGGTATTTCGTAATGATAAAGGGGTCACTTCACCAAAAACATAAAAATTATAAATGTTCATGCACCTGGTAATAATGCTTCAAAATACACAACAACAATCGACAAAGCTTAAAAGAGAAATAAACAAATTCACAATAATATGATATGGGAATTTCAACCCTTCTCTCTTAGTATTGATAGAATGAATACATTGGAAATCAGTAAGGATGTAAAAGACTTGAACAAACTATCAGCCAGTTCCACCTAACTGACATTTATAAAAACCCCCATTCAACAACAAAAGGAAAATTCAAATCAACAACAAAAAGACAACTAGAGAATCCCCCTGACTACTTGGAAATTAAACATCAGACTTCCAAATAAGCCATGTATAAAAAAGAAATTACAATGAAAAAAAAAAGATATTTTAAACTGAAAGAAAAATGAAAACACAACATGGTAAAATATATGAGATGCTACTAAAACGGTGCTTACAGGAACATTTAAGATATTAAATACATGTATTAAGAAAGAAGAAGGCACTGGGTGCGGTGGCTCATGCCACCTGTAATCCCAGCAATTTGGGAGGCCATGGTGGGCAGATCACTTGAGGTCAGGAGTTCGAGACCAGCCTGGCCAACAGGGTGAACCCCCATCTCTACTAAAAATACAAAAGATTAGCTGGATGTGGTGGCGAGTGCCTGTAATCCCAGCTACTGGGGAGGCTAAGGCAGGAGAATCACTTGAACCTGGGAGTTGGAGGTTGCAGTGAGCCCAGATTGTGCCACTGTACCCCAGCCTGGGCAACAAGAGTAAAACTCCATCTCAAAAATAATAATAATAATAGTAATAATAAAGAAGGATCTAAATTCAATTATTGAAGCTTCCACCTAAAAAGCTAGAAAGAGAAGAACAAATGAAACCCAGTGTAAGCAGGAAGAGAGAAAAGATAATCATAGAGGTCAATGAAATAGAAAATTTAGAAAAACAGTAGAGAAATATCAATAAAACCACATGCTGTTTTCTTTTTAAAAAATCAATACATTGGTAAACTTCTAGCCAGACTTGCCAAAAATATGTAAAACACAAATTACCAGTATCAGGAATGAAGTAGGGACATTACTACAGAATCTGCAGATATTGAAAGGATGATAAATAACTTTATGCCAGTAAGTTTCATGACAGATGAATGGAAAAATTTTCTTGAAATATACAAATTACCAAAGCTCAGTTAAGAAGAAATAGATAATCTGAAGAGCCTGTATCTATTAAGTTAATGAACTTTATCGTTAAAAATCTTCCCACAAAGAAAACTCCAGGCCCAGATGGCTTCACTTGTAAATTTAAGGAAGAACTAACACCAATTTTATACAAACTCTGCCAGAAATTAAAAGAGAAAAAAAACACCTTCCAACTCATTTCATGAAGCAAGCATTACCCTGATGCCCAAATCAAAGACATTTTTAAAATGAAAAAGAAAGCTACAGATTAATAGCCCTCGTGAACACAGGTGCAAAAATCCTTAACAGAATTTTAGTAAATTGAATCCTTCAGTATATAAAATATATGATAATATCTTATGACCAGGTAGCATTTATTCCAGGAACACTAGGTTGTTTTAACATTTGAAAATCAATCAATGTAATTCAATTAATATATTCACAAAGAACGATTATATGATCACTCCATAGATGCAGAAAAAGTATTTGATAAAATTGATCACCTATTCCTGTTAAAAACTCTTAGGAAACTAAGATTAGAAGTGATAACAAGGTTTTATTAAAAAAAACTACAACTAACAAACTAACATTGTACTTAATGCCGAAAGACTGAATGCTTTCCCACTCAAGCTAGTAACAAGACAAAGATATCCACTATTGTCACTTCTGTTCAACATTGTACTGGATGCCCTAGTCATTGCAATATTACAATAAAAAGAAATAATAGGCATACAAATTAGAAAGGAAGAAATAAAACATTTTTTCATATATGACATGATTATATATGTAGAAATTCCTAATTGACAAAAAAGCTACTAGAACTAAAAAAAAAGTTTAGCAAGTTTGCAGGATACAGTATCAATATATATAAATTACTTAAATTTCTGTACACCAGCAATAAACAATTAGAAATTTAAAAAATTTTAAGGCCATTTTTATGACATAAAAATATTAAATACTTAGGAATCAGTTTAAGAAAATATGTGCAGTATTTGTACACTGATAACTGTAAAATATTGCTGAGAAATTAAATAATATCTAAATAAATGGAGAGTATACCATATTAATGGAATATAACACTCAACAAAGTTAAGATGTAAATTCTCCCTAAATTGTTCTATAGATTCAATGCAATCTCAATCAAAATCCAGGGAGGTTTTTTTTTTGTTGTTGTTTGTTTGTTTTGTTTTTTTGGTTTTTTAAAGCAGAAATTGACCTGTAAGTTATATGGTAAAAGAGCTAGCACAAGAGCTAATATAGTCAAAATAATTTTGAAAAATAAGACAAAGTTGGAACTACCTGATTTTAAAACTTATTCTAAAGCAAGATCGTGTGCTGTTGGTATAAGGATATACACAGAGTTCAAAAGAACAGAATAGAGGGCCGGGCGTGGTGGCTCAAGCCTGTAATCCCAGCACTTTGGGAGGCCAAGACGGGCGGATCACAAGGTCGGGAGATCGAGACCATCCTGGCTAACACAGTGAAACCCTGTCTCTACTAAAAAAAAAATGCAAAAAAAACTAGCCGGGCGGGTTGGCGGGTGCCTGTAGTCCCAGCTACTCGGGAGGCTGAGGTACGAGAATGGCGTAAACCCGGGAGGCGGAGCTTGCAGTGAGCTGAGATCCGGCCACTGCACCCCAGCCTGGGCGACAGAGCAAGACTCCGTCTCAAAAAAAAAAAAAAAAAAGAACAGAAAAGATAATCTAGAAATGGCACTATATCTATCTAAATAAACACATACACACACAGTAGATTTTTGATGAATGTGCCAAGATAATTCAGTGAAAAAAGGATATTCTTTTTAGCAGATGGTGCTGGATTAATTGAATCTCCAAATGTGATAAAATGAACCTGACCCTTACCGTAATACCGTATACAAAATTTAATTCAAAATGGATCCTAGGCCTAAATGTAAGAGCTAAAACTATACAACTTCTAAAAGAAAATGTAGGAGAAAATATTTGTGACCTAGGCAAAGGTTGCTTAGATCTGACAAAAGAAATCTTAAAACCTTAAAAGAAAATTTTGACAAATTTGATCAAAATTTTAAAATTTGCATTCAAAAGATAATGTTAAGAAAATAAAAAGGCAGACATCAGCTGGGGAGCAAATATTTTCAAAACATATATGGTAAAAGGCTTGTATCCAGAATGTATTAACTTTTACAACTCAGTAATAACCCAATGAAATCCAATCGTTTTTGGTTTTTATGGTTTTTTTTTTTTTTTTTTTTTTTTGAGATAGGCTCTTGCTCTGCTGTCCAGTCTGGGGTGCAGTGGCGCTATCATGGCTCAGTGCAGCCTTGATTTCCTGGGCTTAAGCAATTCTCCCACCTCAGCCTCCAGAGTAGCTGGGACTACAGGCTGGCTAATTTTTTATTTTTTGTAGAGATGGGGTCTCACTATGTTGCTTACGCTAGTCTCGAACTCCTCGCTTCAAGCAATCCTCCTTCTTCAGCCTCCCAAAGTGTTGTGATTACAGGTATGAGCCACCATGCCTAGCCCCAATTTTTTTGTTTTAAAGGCAGAAGATTTGAATACACTTCACTAAAGAAGATAAATAAGCACATGAAAATGACACTGAGATACCACTGTAAAATCACTAGAATGTCTAAAATTAACAAGATTGAGCAAACACATGTTGGTGAAATGTAGAACAATTGGAACAAAGTACTGATCTATGCAACAATATGGGATAATTTCAAAAGCATTACACTAAGTGAAAAAAGACACAAAAGAATGTCTACTCTATGATTGTACTTGTGTGACTTTGTAGAAAGGCAACAATTGTGACAGCAGAGCCGTGGTTGCCAGAGCAGTGGTTGGGAAGGTACTGACTGCGAAGGGACACAGGGAGCTTCTCAGCATCATAGATAGATTAACATCTTAATAGTGGTGGTATTTAACTCAACTGTAAACATTTGCCAAAACTTGGAATTGTACAACTAACACTGATTAATTTTATTTGTATATACATTGTATCTCAGTAAAGCGAAATTTAAATAAAAATAAGCCAGGCATGGTGGCTCACACCCATAATCTTAGCACTTTGGGAGGCAGAGGCAGGCAGATCACCTGAGGTCAGGAGTTTGAGACCAGCCTGGCCAACATAGCGAAACCCCGTCTCTACTAAAAATACAAATTACAGGTGGTGGGCGACTGTAATCCCAGCTACTCAGGAGGCTAAGGCAGGAGAATCACTTGAACCCGGAGGGGGAGCGGAGGCGGAGGTTGCAGTGAGCCAAGATCACGCCGTTACACTCCAGCCTGGGTGACAAGAGCGAAACTCCGAATCAAAAAATAAAAATAAAAGCCAAGCCTTCGGTAGTTCTGTCAGCAACATCAACAGTGACTTCTTATGCAGTTCCTACTGCAGTGTGCTTGGGGCTTTGGGTCACTGGACTTGTTAGATCTCAGCCGGCACCCATACCATTTCTGTCTACCCTGTAGATAGCACAGAACCCATTTGCAATAATTAACCAATGTGAAATGATCTCTACAAATGCTGTGTTTTGCTGTTTCAGGTGCTTAGGAGAACATGCAGTAGAGCTTTTCATCAAACAAATGGAACACGTCATAGTATTTTGCTAATATGGCCAACTCTGCACAGAAAAATGAACTCACTGGCAAGCACCCCAGACGTGCCATTGAAGTACAGAAAGGTACACGTGTCTTTGCAGGGAGGAGATAGCTCCTGACATATGCTTATTTTAGTACATAAGAGCAAATTTGGGGGGAATAGTAAATCCTGGGTTATATCCACAGGGCCATCCTTATAGGCATATCAGATAGATGATTTTAGGCCCTACTGTTTCAAGTGTGATGATTAGAAGAAACTGTGAGAAGAAAGGATGAGAGAAGAAGGAGGAAGCCTCTTTAAAAATAAAAAACAAATAAACAAAACCCAGACTTGTTATTTCCATGTATCTGGTAAGAATCTCTATCCTCAAATTTAGATATGTAAGATATCTTTTTTTATTTCCTGGAACCCAACTTGAGGTATGACTGCAAACCCCCATTCTGCTGGGTTGTTGGAGAGGATAACTCCAGCCATTATCAGCATAAATCCTATCTCCCTCATGGCTGTTTCAAGTTTGGAACTTTCCCAATAGTTAGTGTAATCCCGGGAGGCTGGGTTGGGGAGGGGAGGAATACTCAGGTCATTGGTCGACCATCCACATTGGTGAGATCCCCAGTGTCCCAGCTCACGTGCTCCCTTTGGTTTTGCTAGTTTTCTGGCAAACTAGTGTTCTGGTTTGTTAGTGTATTCTGGGCCATACCTGTGGTTTAGGAATTATTGCTGAGACTGGAAACATCATTTTGAGTCCTCCTAGGCTCTAGCGCTTTTTCTTTCAAGGCTATTATCACCTCCCTGGTGGGCTTCCAGAGTCACTGCTGGTCTCAAATCCAGAGAAATCTCTCTCTCTTCCTCCCATCCTCTGATTTTGCACTCTCTTTTTCTTCAATATTTCTTTAAATTGAAGCATAAGTATACATTCAGGAAAAGCGCACAAATCCTAATTGTATAGCTTAATGAATATTCACAAAGAAGACACCACCTGTGGAATTACTTCTCAGACCAAGAGAGAATGCCAGCAGCATCTCAAAAGCCCTTGTCCCTTCTCAGATATGATCTCCCTTCCCCACAAAAGTAAACACTACGGTTATCCTGACTTCTCACATCATTAACAACTTTAGTTTGTTTTTGAACATTATGTAAATGTGAGTCATACAATATGAACTCTTTTCTCTCAGGCTTTTTTCACTTATGTTTCAGAGATTTAACTTCATGTTGTTTTATCTTATGTATCAGTAATTTGTTCATTTATTACTCTTGTTTGAATATACCACAATTTATTTATCTATTCTACTACTGAAGGACATTTAGGTTGTTTCCAGTTTGGGGCTATTATGAATAAAAACTTCTGTAACTATTCTTGTGCTTGTCTTGTGGGACACATATTTATGTATTTCATGGGTCTATACCCGAGGAGTGGAACCGCTGGGTCATAGGGTATGTTTAGGCTAAGCTTAGTTGATAATGCCAAACAGTTTTCCAAAGTAGGTGCGCCAATTTTACCTCCTTACAAGCAATATATGTGAATTCCACATGTTCCAAATCCTCACCAACATTTTAAGCTCATAATAGTTTTAATTTGCATTGCCTTAGATCAATGAGATTGAGCACTTCTTCATGTTGACTGGCCTTTTGGATATTCTCTTTGGAGAAGTGACTGTTCAACTTTTTTGCCCATTTTCTTCTGATGGGTTTTTCTTTCTTTTCTTTCTTTCTTTGTTTTTTTTTTTTTGTATATTTATAGGAGTTCTTTAAACCATTCTGTCCTTATTTATAGGGGTTCTTTAACTATTCTAGAAACAAGTCATTTGTTAGCTATAGGTAAATGTCTTCCCCTATCCTGGGACTTTCCTTTCCACTCTCTCAACAATGTGCTAAGAAACGGAAACTCTTGATTTTAATATAGCCCAATTTATCAATCTCTTTATGTTTAGTGTATATGTCTATTCTATTAATACTTAAGAAATCTTTGCCCATCCCAAGATAGTTTCTTCTAGAAACTCTATTACTTTACCTTTTACATTTAGATCTACAATTCACTTGAAATTGTTTTTGTATGAGGAAGACACCCAAGTCTGTTGTTTTCCATGTTGACCCAGCACCACTTATTGAAAGGCTGCTCATTCTCTACTACTCTGTATTGCTGTTGCTATCTTTGTCATAAATCAAGTGTCCAGGCATATGCAGCTCTGCTTCTGGATTATTTATCCTGTTCAAATATCATACTGTCCTAGTTACTGTAACTTTATAATAACTCTTTAGTAGCATAAGCCCTTCAACTTTGTGCTTCTTTGTTTATGCCGGCTATTCTTGACCCCAGTGCATTTCCATATAAATTTATTTTACTTTTTAATTTTTTATTTTTATGGATATGTAATAGTTATACATATTTATGGTGCACATGTGATATTTTGATACAAGCATACAATGTGTAATGATCAAATCGGTAGCTATAAAAATTTTACAATCAGCTTATTAATGTCTTAAAAAAATCTCTACTCTCATTCTAATTTGGATTACATTGATTCTAGAAATCAATTTAAGGATAATTTACATTTTTACAATAAATATTAACTTCTCTAATCCATGTATAGATCCTTTTAAGTTACCTTAAATTGTTCTCAATGTTTTAGAGTTTTCTTTGTAGAAGTCTTACATATCTTCGTTATATCTATTCTAGGCATTTGATTTTTATGCTGTTATAAATGGTAATTTTAAATTTTATTTTAAATTGTTTGTTGCTGGTATACAAAAATATTAATTGATTTTTGTATATTGACCTTGATTCTGGCGACCTCACTAAATCCAACTATTTCCTCTTATAGGGTATCCATAGATTCTTTTGCAATTTCCCCATATTCAATCTTGTCATCTGTGAAAATGACAACTTTATTTCTTCCTTTCTCATCCATATATTTTATATTTTATGTATTTTTAATATATTTTATGTAGGCATTTGTATTGGCTAGAGACCTTCAGTACAGTGCTGAATAGCAGGATGATAGCAGTTGTACTAGTTTCACTCCCTATCTCGAGGGAGAGCTTTTAATATTTCACAATTTGGTATCACGTTTGCTATAGGCTTTTGTTATAGACACCTTTTATCAGATTAACAAAGTTTGCTCCTATTCCTAGTTTGCTAGAGTTTTTCTTTTAATCATCAAAGAATATTAGATTTTATGAAAAGCTTTTTCTGTATCTACTAAACAGTTACTTCACCAAAAAAAAAAAGATATACAGAGGGAAAATAGCATATGAAGGAATGCTCAGCATCATTAGTCATTAGGGAAATGCAAATTAAAACCACAATGAGATACCATTACATACCTAATTGGATGCCTGTGATTAAAAAGACTTCCCATTGCTGAGGAGAATGTGAAGTCATGGAAATTTTCATACACTAATAGTGGGGATGTACGAAAGTACAATGACTATGAAAAATAGTTTGGCAGTTTTTTAAAAAGTTAAACATCCGATCTAGTCATTCCACTCCTAGGCATTTACCCCACAAAATGAAAGCTTATCTCCATTTAAAGACTTGTAGATAAAATGCTAATAGCAGTTTTATTTGTAAACTGGCAACAACTCAAATTTATGTCACCAACGAATAAACATCATGTTTTTATACAACGGAATACTACTCAACAATAAAAAGCAATGGAGTATTGATATATCAGCAACAGAGATGAATCTCTTAGTAATTATGGTGAGTAAAAGAAGCTAGATAAAAAGAGTACCTGTTACAGGTATATGATTTTTTTTTTTTTTTTAACTATTGAGATACTCATTTGGTTTTTCTTTTTTAGTTCGTTAATATGATGAATTATATTGATTTTCAAATGTTAAACTATTTTGGCATTACTGCGGTTGGTCATGATGTATTATCTTTTTGTATATTGTGTGATTCGATTTGCTAAAATTTTTCTAAGAATTTATGTATTTACGTATATGAGGGCTCTTGATCCCTAGTGATCTTTTTCCCTCTTGTAATGACACCGTATAGTTTTGGTATCAGGTAGTGGTTGCCTCATTGAATGAGTTTGGAAATGTCTTTTCCTCTTCAGTTTTCTGGGACAGCTTGTATGGAATTGATAGGTGGAGTGTTCTATAAATGCCAATTAGGTCAGGTTAGGTAATAGTTTTGTTCAAGTTTCATATATCTTTACTGATCTATCTACTTGTTTAAATTATTGAGGGAGATGTTTTGAAATCTCTGACTCTAAGTTTGAAATTTTCTATTTTTCTTGCAGTTTTATCAGTTTCTGCTTCTTATATTTTCTATCTCTTTTTATTGGGTACATCAGCATTTAGGACTGTTAGGTTCTCTTGAGGAGCTGACCCCTCATAATGATCCCATTATGAAATGACTCTCTTTAATGCAGGTAATATTTTTTGCTCTGAAATCTACTTTATCTGATAATATCTATCTTTTGCTTAGTGTTAGCATAATAAATCTTTTTCCATTATTTTACTTTTAACTTATTTCTGGGTTGATATTTAAAGTATGTTTCTCGGAGGTAACATATAGTTGGGTCTTTCTTTCTTATGCAGTCTGAGAATCTCTGTTTTTTAATTGGGATATTTAGAGTATTTACGTTTAATGTGATTATTGGTATATAAGTTTGTCTGTCATCTTGTGACGTGCTTTCTATTTGTCCCCTCTGTTCTTTATTTACCTTTTCTCTGTCTCTTGTGTTATTTTTAATGCTTCAATTTTATCTCATTTGTTAGCCTATTAGGAATAACTCTTTGTAGTATTTTCCTGGTGGTTACCTTAAAGCAATGGTTGGCAAACTTTGCCCCTCGGACCAAATCTGACCCCCTGCCTATTTCTATTAATAAAGTTTTATTGGAACACGGCCACCCCAGTTTGTTTATGTATTGTCTGTGGCTGCTTTTACTCCATAATGGCAGCACTGAATAGTTGCCACAGAGAATAAATAGACTGCAAAGACTAAAATATTTACTATCTGGCCGGGCATGGTGGCTCACACTTGCAATCCCAGAACTTTGGGAGGCTGAGGCAGGAGGATTGCTTAAGTCCAGGAGGTCAAGGCTGCAGTGAGCTATGACTGCACCACTGCACTACAGCCTGGGCAACAGAATAAGATCCTGTCTCAAAATATAGATTAATTAGATAGATAGATAGATAGATAGATAGATAGATAGATAGATATAGATGGATAGACAGATATGTACTCTCTGGCCCTTAGAAAAAGTTTGTTGATCCCTACATACTTTAGAGTTTATAGTATATATCTTTTTGTTGTTGTTCTTTTTTTTTTTGAGGTGGAGTCTCGCTCTGTCGCCCAGGCTGGAGTGCAGTGGCACAATCTCAGCTCACTGCAAGCTCCACCTCCTGGGTTCACGCCATTCTCCTGCCTCAGCCTCCTGAGTAGCTGGGACGACAGGCTCCCGCCACGATGCCCGGCTAATGTTTTTGTATTTTTAGTAAAGACGGGTTTCACTGTGTTAGCCAGGATGGTCTCGATCTCCTGATCTCGTGATCCGCCTGCCTCAGCCTCCCAAAGTGCTGGGATTACAGGCATGAGCCACCGCGCCTGACCTTTTTTTTTTTTTTTTTTTGAGATCGAGTCTTGCTCTGTCGCTCAGGCTGGGGCGCAGTGGCGCAATCTTGGCTCACCTAGGCCTCCCAGGTTCAAGCGATTCTCCTGACTCAGCCTCCTGAGTAGCTGGGATTACAGGCACCTGCCACCATGCCTGGCTAGTTTGGTGAGGAGGACTCCCAAAGTGCTGGATTATAGGCTACCACGCCCAGCCTATAATCATTACTTTTTAAATGTTTAAAATGTTATATTTAAATTATTCAATTTATACTCATAGTTTTATGTTTTCTATTTACCCACATATTTACTATTTCCAGAGCTCTTCATTCCTTTATGTGATTCAGATTTCCAAGTGGTATCGTTTTCTTTGACCTGAAGGGCTTCCCTTAACATTTCTTGTAGCTCCCGTTTGCTGATGATTAATTCTTTCAATATTTATATATTTTTTAAAGTTTTTATTCTGCTTTTGCTTTTGAAGATGTTTTTACTGGGTACAGGATTCTAGGGTGACAGGTTTTATTTTTATTTTTTTTCCTTTTAGTGCCTTAAGGGTGTTGTTTTCAACACCAATCTGCTGTCATTCTCATATTTGTTTCTTCACATGTGACATGTCTTTTTTTCTCTGCCCAGTTTTAACATTTTCTTCTTGTCACTTTTTAAGCAATTTGATTATGGTTGGCCTACGGTGTCGTTTTCTTCGTGTTTCTTGTATTTCACGTTAAGTGACTTTCTTGAATCTGTGAGTCAATAGTTTTTTTTTTATCAAATTTGGAAAAATTTCAACCATTTTTTCTTGAACTATTTTTTTCTGTTTCTTCTCTCCTCATATTTCTTTTTTTGAGAGCCTGATTACATATATATTAGTCTCCTCAAAGTTTCCATACAGCTCACTAATCCTTTTTCTTGTCCTTTTTCTGTGTTTTATTTTGTATAGTTTTATTTCTATATCTTCAAGTTTACTAATCTTTTTCTCTTCTAATTTGCTATTCATCTCATCTAGTGTATTTTTAATCTCAGACATCTTAGTTTTCACATCTGAAAGTTTGATTTGGATCTTTTCATTATATCTTCCATGTCTGTCTACTTAATATGTTCAGTCTTTTCTCTGGCTTCTTGAACATATGAAATACAGTTAGTATAGCAGTTACAGTGTTCTTCTCCACTAATTCTATCATCTGTATCATTTCCGAGTTGGTTTTGATTGTTTATTTTCTCCCCACTTTGAAGTATAGTTTGTCCTTCTTCCTCCTATTAATTTTTTTATCAATGCCAGGTATTTTGAATTTTACCTCTTAGGTGCTGTCTATTTTTGTAGTCCCATAAACATTCTTGTGCTTTGTTCTGAGATGCAGTTAAATTGTTTGGAAACAGTTTGATCTTTTCAGGTCTTGCTTTAAAGCTTTGTTAGCTGGAACCAGAGCAGTATTTAGTCTAGGGGTAATTTGGCCCTATTTCTGAGGCGAAATCCTCCTGCATACTCTGTGTTCCATGAATTAGGAGGTTTTCCTGCTGTGACTCATGAAAACAGGAGCTATTCCTGGCCCTGTGGAAGCCTCCGGGATTGCTCGCTTGAATTCTGCCAGGTGGTTCCTTCTCCAGCCCTGGGTAGTTTTCTCATGTGCATGTGTCGGTCAATACCCAGGAACTTACTCAGGGGACCCTGTTGCAGAGCTCCATAGCTGTCCATCTGGGTAGCTCTCTCTTCTCCAGTACTCTGCTCTGTGAACTTAGCTGTCTTGGCCTTTCTGGACTCCCAGATCCATTTCCTCACCTCAGGAAGTCCACGGGGCCCCATCTGGATCCCTTCTTCCTGTGCTGTGGTCTGGAGATTTCCTCCTGGCAGAAAGCTGGGGGCCATCTTATTGCCAACCTCATTTATTTTGCTTCTCTCAGGGATCCCTGTCCTTTGTTGCCTGATGTCCAGTGTCTTGATTGCTTTGTATATCTTGCCCATTTTTAACTTTTTTTTTCCCAGCTGGGAGGGCAAATCTAGTCCCGTTTCGGTTAGAAATAGGAATTTAGTCATCCAGAGTGTTTTTCAAAAATTCTACTTTTTTAATTGTTTCATCAAGAGGGTTGCTCTGACAAATGCCATTCTGTTATAGCCAGAAGCCTTGGATCTCCTTTCCCGTCAGGCAGAAACCTCTCCTTTCCCCAGGAGAACGTCCTTCCAGTAACCTTTTTAAAGCAACTCTCTTTCTTTACTGCCTCCTCTGCACACTCTCTCAGCTGTTCTATAGGCTTCGGGTTTTAGAAACAAAAGCCAGTAAGTCTTGCAGCTGCTTCTGCCTTTGGATTTGCTGTATAGCTCTCTTAAAGCAAACAAACCCAAAACACAGCCATTCATCTGCTTAAATGGGGAGGGGAGGAGAATAATACATTTACTGTATATTGATATCCCCAAATATTTTCTACTTAAACATGTATTCAGCTCCTTTTACTTGCTTTGTCCTCCACCCAGGCAGATTAGGCTCAAGTGTCCCTCTCCCCATTGTATCAGTCATCTGTTTATTGAGCACTTGCTAGAGGCCAGCTCAGGAAGAGGAAGCACAGTTCAGAGCTCAAGAGCCTGGGCTCATTAGGCAAATCATGTTCACACCCCAACTGTTCCCCTTAAGTGCTGGGTGATTTGGATGAATAACTGAATCCCTCTAAGCCTCAGTTTCCTCATCTGTGAAGCTGGTTCATGATTGTACCCCTCGAGGGGTCCCTATTGTCTTCAGGCTTCCCACTCTGAAAAGGAGTATTGGTTTTTTTAAAAAAGTCAGAGATGAAGAAATGAGCCTTACTGATAGTCTCCATACACACCACCCTCTGCTATGGCTGACGCATACTTTCTTCTTTCCTTCCCTTGACTGTTTTTCCCCATTTCTGCACGTATTTTCTCTCTGAGGGTTAGGATTCTGGTGTTAAAATAATTTGGCTTACTGTTGTGAACAGCCTACAGAGTCAGGATGCACCCTCCCACCAAAAATTTGGTTTGGATGTCAAGACTTACGGTGCCACACACATGCTCATCAAGAGTGTAGGAAAAGGCTTATCACCCACATAGTGAGGCCTTCTGAGGACAGCAGCACAGCCTTCCTAACCCGATCCAATGATGGCTTGAGAAAGCAGGGAAAGGAGCCTAACTTGGGGGTTTTCTTCTTCTTTTTTTTTTTTTAGACGGAGTCTCGCTCTGTCGCCCAGGCTGGAGTGCAGTGGCCGGATCTCAGCTCACTGCAAGCTCCGCCTCCCGGGTTTACGCCATTCTCTTGCCTCAGCCTCCCGAGTAGCTGGGACTACAGGCGCCCGCCACTTCGCCCGGCTAGCTTTTTGTATTTTTTAGTAGAGACGGGGTTTCACCGTGTTAGCCAGGATGGTCTCGATCTCCTGATCTCGTGATCCGCCCGTCTCGGCCTCCCAAAGTGCTGGGATTACAGGCTTGAGCCACCGCGCCCGGCCGACTTGGGGGTTTTCTTGTGGTTGGAAAGCGGGGCTGGACTGAGGGCAGGGGTTTGCATGGTCTGAACTTCCAGCTGCTGCCACAGGAGGGAGCACTGGGCTTTCTCATCCACTTGCCCAGTGTTGGGGCAGAAGGGAATGAGGGAGTGGTGAAGCTGAAGAGCTATCAGCCATCAAACATCAGAAAACTGGAGTCAGAGTCCGTTACACTTCCAGGTTAGAGTCTATAATCAACCTGCTATGCAGACAGATGCCGCCAAGTTCTAGCAGTTGTGGAAGTCTCAGCAGGAGGGGAGTTTATACATCAGACATGCATTTACACATCACAACCTAGACAAATGAACTTTTAACTTCAGTTTCTATAGATAAGCCCTTTCTACCTTTTAACCCCATGTCTGCTCAAAGCAGAAACGAAAACTTATGCCTGTCTTGCACAGTGCCCTGGAAAGTAAGAGCCAGCCCCACGCTGGGATTTCCCTAACCTCTTTCGATTTTAACGGCCTAATGCTGGTGTCTGAATCTAGGCCAAGGAGCAGTGAGGACGTTTCCTCTGTCCTCTGACCACGCCTTGTCCAGGCTGCTCCCAGAATAGTTTTGCTGTTTCCTTCCCGCCTGGCAAGAATGTCTTTACTATCATCTCCTTGCTTTTCCCCGGGACAGCCTGCTTTAAGGACTTTATGTAACCACATCTCACTAGTGTAAGAGCTGGAGGGGGGAAGTCTGATAAATTGCCGAGAGGGAAAGAAAGTGGGGAATTTTTTTTTTGTTAATCCTGTTTCATGTCTATTTCCTGTCAAAAGGCAAGTTTCTCTTCTCTACCATTTAAAATAAAACTTTAATATACACCTTTGTGTTTTCCACATTTGTCAATCATTGTTTTGTATTCATTTTGATTTTATTTCATTTTTGTTGTTTAGGTTTTACTGCTGCATATCCAACACAATCCTCCATTCCTGTTAAATATCAAGCTTCAGTAATCCCAGAATCAGAAAAAAAAGGATTCAATAGTCAAGCCAAGAGATTTTCTCAAAAGAAGGTAATGACGTTGTCTTAGGGGTTCTTTCGTTTTAGTCTGGATTTTAGCCTTGCGGGACAGGCAGGTTCTGTCTGGCTGCTGTGTCTTTCTGTGGACAGTGGAGGGCAGTGTGCTCCCAGGAGCCGCGGCACCAGCTCCACTGAGGGGCACCGACTGGACTAAGTGTAAGAATGAGCCTGAAAAATGGGACATCCAGGGAAAAAACAACTATGTCTGGATTTATGGCGCCAAAAATATTGAACTGGACCAAAACTATTTAAAGGAAAAAATATATTTTAAAAATAATTATAAAACTGAAAAATTGCAAAAATTCCCAAGTGTTATCAATTAAGTAAAACGTTAAAACAAAAATCTTCCTCATCCTTGTGAGAGGAAATCACATGACTTCAAATAACACAAGAGGAAAAGAAGAGTCAAATACATCTAGAATTACCTTTGGAGGGCTGGGCATGGTGGCTTATGCCTGTAATCCCAGCACTTTGGGAAGCTGAGGTAGGAGAATTAATTGCTTGAGCCAGGAGTTTCAGACCAGCCCAGGCAACAAAGCAAAACCCAATCTCCACAAGAAAAAAAAAAGTACAAAAATTTGCTGGGCGTAGTGGTGCGTGCCTGTAGACCCAGCTACTCAAGAGACTGAGGAAGGAGGATCACCTGAACCTCAGGAGGTTGAGGTTGCATTGAAGCAAGATAGTGCAACTGTACTCCAGCCTGGGTGACAGAGCGAGACCCTGTCTGAAAAAAAAAAAAAATTACCTTTGTAATGAGCCCTGCCCTACTTTAAAACAACAACAACAACAACAAAAAACAACTTCCTTAAACAATGTGTTATTAGCCAGGTGCAGTGGCTCATGCCTGTAATCCCAGCAGTTTGGGAGGCCAAGGTAGACAGATCACTTGAGGTCCAGAGTTCGAGACCAGCCTGGCCAATGTGGTGAAACCCCATCTCTACTAAAAATACAAAAATTAGCTGGGAGTGGTGGCGTGTGCCTGTAGACCCAACCACTGCCTCTCCTGAGGCAGGAGAATCGCTTGAACCTAGGAGGCGGAGATTGCAGTGAGCTGAGATCACGCCACTGGACTTCAGCCTGGGCAACAGAATGAGACTCCATCTCAAAACCACCACTACCACAACATGTTATCATATTCCTGTGTTACCCACCTCCCCCCCTTCCCTAAATCTTGCCGCATCTCTTTTCCTCTCTAACCTAGAAAGTTCTGCGTGGTTCCTGACCGGTCCTTATTTAATCTTTGGGATTTATGGGACCTGACTTTCTCCTCTCTCACCATCAGGGGACAGAAGCAACCAGAAGCAACTCACAGGCATCCTTAGAATCTAAAAAATTTTTCATTCCTTCATTCATTTCAGCAAGACCTTTAGAATAATGTTCTTTTGGAGGAGTCCTCATTTAACATGTCTTTTGCTGCCCTCTGAAAATGGTTTTCATCCTGTCACCTTGCCCAGATGGCAGAGGAGGAATGAGGAGATCTAGGTTCTGAATGGAGCCAAAGCATGGACTGAGGGGCCTTGGCTAGCCCTGGTGCCCTCAATCTGATTCCTCCTTGGTAGATGAGAACGCTAAACTAGAGAAAGTTTTAAGTGTCTTCCACTTCTGATATTTTAGGATTCTAAGAAAGCAAATAATAAAGAATAGAGTGTACACACACAAATACACACACGCAGTTTTAAATCACTTGCAGGTTTTCTCTAAAGACAATACATATTTGCTCAGGAGTTTTCTTCTCTCTCTAGTTTCTCTGTTTTAACTGTTTGATTCTTTCCCATTTTCTGTCTGGTTTCCCATTTGTCAATTTAATGGTAATATATTGTCCATCTCTAGGATATTTGCAGCCCAGCCTCCGATAAAAACAATAGCAGCCACCATTTACTTATCCTTACCATGTGTACTTTTAGACTGCCTTTTATCTCTAATCCTCGGAACAGTGCTGAAAGGAAGGGTTTATTATTTTAATTTAACACAAGAGGAAACCCAGGCTTGGGGAAGTTAAATGACCCACCCAAGGTCACACAGCGCAGGGTTTGGCACATAAGAGGCTCAAAAGAAATGTTTGCTGAATCAATGTTGAAAGAATTAGACCTCAACCCAGGTCTAGTTCACTCCAAAGCCTCTTGCTCTTTCCACACTGCACCGCGCCTACCTTTGTGGCCCGCAGAGCTGTAACTTTGTCCTGTGAAAGTCAGCAAGTTTCTGAAAAGGCCTTAGCAAAGCAGACCAAGCTGAAGACAGGGGAGGATGTCAGCTAGCGTGGATGGGCCCCATCCCCCATGATCTAGTTCTGAGCACTCAAATTCAGAAAGCAAACGGGCTGACTTCTCAAGTTAGTGTTTGAAAAGATGATTGCTTCTCAGAACGTTTTCAACTGAACGAACCAAGGAGGCGGGTAGCCAAACCTACAGGCAGCATTGAATGAAGACAGGAATTGCTCAGAGATTGGGTTCCAACTTTTAAAATGTGGTCGTATTACCTGACAACATGAAAACTTTCATCTCGGCATTTGTAAACATTTTAGAAATAAGGATGGAATTTTATGGAAAGGGCAGGGGATCCATCAATCAGGCTTTCTGTGTCCTACTCTGTCACTGACTGTGTGCCTTTAAACCAGTCACTTGACTTTTCTGGGCTTCAGTCTCCTTAACTGAAACATAAAATTTGGATTATATAATTTTTGAGGTCTCCTCAAGTTATAAAAACAGAAAAAAAAATCCTATTCTATGGTTCATTCTCATTTTTCCTGAGGGAAATAGGCATTGAGAAGTTAAAGATCTTGTTTAACATCACCTGATAATTTAGTGAGGCAATACAAATTAAAAACAGATTTTAAAACTCCAGGGCTTTGCCACCCTTCTTAAAGAATTAGTCGCACGCACCCTTGCTCCAGGTCAAACATGGCTGCCTCCTCACAGTAGTCCTGTGGCCCACCTTAGCACATCTTTGACGCAGAGAATCAGTGCCCTTTGAAATGCGCACTTACCTTCTGAGGCTAACTTTGCAGTGAACCATCAGGGCCCCCTTGCCCAGCTCACATTCCCCATGAGAATCTTACTGCAGAGTACAAGGAATCCTTCACAAAGCTCAGTGTCTGGAATGGCAATTTTGGCTGCTAGAAATGAAGTCTGTTTTCCTGAACATTTTCGAGTTATTTACAGATGTGCTGGTAACTTTGCGTAGGTGAAGAGACACGCCTGATCTGTGTGACAAAGCATGGCCCGGCGGCCTGTTGGACATTTTCTACCCCCACCTCCGTGTTTCTGTCTCCACTTCACCCTGGATTGTGGTTACTGTTTCCGAAACTGTGTACCCCTAAGGACACCACTTAATGTCTTTGCTTCTCTGTTTCCTCATCCTAAAAATAAAGATGTTGCAATAGGTAGGTAAGCCCTTGCCAGGAATGACTATTTCATGGTTCTAAACCTCATCCCTTCCAGGCTTGAATAAATAAATACTGGTAGAACATCGGTACCATGTGCTCTAGATGGGCACAACTTAAAAATGTATGTTAATACCATTACATAGTAAATCTCCCCTTCCAGACGGGAAGCCAGCCAGTGGTTAATTTGTGATGAAATCATACAAAGTTAATATTGTTCACTTATTAACTTGATATGACACTAGACCAGGGATATTTAAATGAAAGGAGGTTCAGTTTGCGGAAGTCACCATGTTCAAGCGGACAGCCGCCCCAAGTGTGCCCTCAGCTGCATATCTGACCCACAGTAGGGTCTGCCCTGCCTCCCTGCTCTGTGAAGCCTGACTTCTCCATATCCAGTCACCAGCACCCCTTCCAAAGGGGTCTGCAAACACTGGGCTGGCACTCATGACATGCCAGGTCCCCCTCAAAGACCTTTGCACTTGTTACCTCATTTAATCCCCATAATAACCCTGTGAGCTAAATCCCCTCATTATCCACACTTCAGATAATGATCCCGAGACAAAAACAGGGGGAAGTAGCTTGTGCAGTCGAGGCTGGGCAGAGTGAGGATGAACCCAGGTAGCAGCTCCTGGTCCTCAGATCCTGTTTCCCCAGCATCTTCCCCAGGTGGAAGTACCTCCCACAGTCCGTCTTATGCCCTTGACACGAGGTTAATGTGTGTGCTGTCTTACCTCCACCACCTGCCTAGGGGCTTCTTGGGCAGTGGTCATTGCTGTCCTTTCCAGACCCCACAAATCCCTCAAAAATGGATTGAATGACCCCAACTCAAGTCTGCACATTTCCCATCGAGTCACGACCACACATCCATCCATGAGTACTGTTGTGATGCGTCTCCTTCCTCCCATTCCTAGACCTTGTGAGCTGCTAACAGGTTGCGCCTGTATCTTCTACCCTTAGCACAGGTCCTGATGCACAGTAGGTTTCAATCAGTGTCTGCTAAATTGCATGTTTGCCCCATTCCACTCAGGGGACTTCAAGAGGCTGCTAATAAGCTGCTCAGTCCCACTCTGAAGGTTTGTGACTCCCAAGGGAGGGTCCTGGCTCCATAGAGGCAGTAGTAGGCAACGTCATGCGTGGTGATGGTGGTGATGGTGATGATGATGGCAGGCTGCATCGGTGCTATTCCACCCGCTTTATGTGTATTGACCCCTTTAATCCTCACGCTAAGAGGCAGCGAAGGAGACAGCTGGTAGGGCATCCGGCACTGGGCTTCCATAGTGTGCTAGTAAATGTGAGTTATCTTCCCGTCTCCCTCCCCATACGTGTTTTTGTTTTGTTTGTTTATTTGGTTTTTGCCAAGAAACCAAGGAGTGGCTAAGTTCACACCAGTCACAACTTGGATTCTCATTCTCTGGGATTTGCTCTGAGAGGCCTAAATTCATCCAAGTCACAGAACGTCAGTTGCAGGAACTATTATCGCACAGGCGAAAGTTCTCTCCTAGGGTGCTATCCGCCCACCTCTAGAAGTTGCAGGAGAATGCTTGACATTCCCCTCCCAGAGACCTACTTGGGCATTGCACGAAGGTGGTGGTGTGCTGGTCAACCACCATTTACCCTCCTTGAAGAAGACTGCTGAGTTGTAGCATCTGCCCATTTTTGTGGTATAAATACTCCCATCCTGGCCAGTTTCAAGCCACCACCAGCAACATTTTGGAATTTTTAACAGTTTTCCTCACAAGCTGCCGCTGGCTAGCTCCAGCTGCTGCTGCCTGGAGGACTGTCCTTTTGCTTGCTAAGAACAAACAGGCAGCACTCCGTTCCTCCGGGCGAGGTGGTAACAGTCCTCTTCCCATTTGCCCTGGACTCAAGCCAGTTTGCAAAGTGGCAGAATTAAAGTGTGGTTAAAGCACAGGAAGGTTGTGAGCTTCAGCAAATGAAAATACGAGATGTCCAGTTAAATTAGAATTTCAGATAATGGCAACTCTGTTAGTACAAGTATGTCCCAAATATTGCATGGGATATACTAAAATCATCATCTGCAGTTTATCTGAAATTCTAATTTAACTAGGCAGGTAGGATGGAGCAGGCATTTAGGTCTTGTATTTTGTCTGGAAACCCTGGCTCCTCAGACACATAAGCATGCTCAGAAAATTCTTGCAAACTGATGGTCAGGTTCAGAGCGTGGTGATAACCGGGAGCTAGAGGTGTGTGTCTTCACTGTCTGCTATTTAAACCTAGAAGAGTCACAGTGACACTTCCTGCGTCAGCTTTCCTAGATTCAGGGACTCCGGAAGCTCAAAAGCACCCCAAGGCCCAACACCTTGGACTTACAAATAAGGAAGCCCAGAGAGGTGACTTGCTCAGTATCACTTAGCGTGTGGCAGCACCGAGACTACAATTTCTGATTCATAACCCAGTGGGGATTTTTTTAATCCTATACAATCTCATTTGAAAGTTAGTTTGGTTTCGTGGTTAAGAGCAGACTCTGTGGTCAGAGTGCCTCGGTTCTGGCTCTGACATTTACTGGTTATGTGGGCCTTATCTCTTTTGGCCCCAACTTCTTTACAATGGAGATTAAGTGAGCTAATAGTACATGTAAAGTCCTCAGAACGGTGCATGGCACACAATAAGCACTCAATAAATTGATGCTTGCCTTGAAAACAGCTGCCTAGAAAAATCTCTTCCTTGTCTCCCCATAGCCCTTCGCATCTGCATCCACAACAGCAGGGTTCTCCTGAGCTCTTGGACTGGGGTGCTGGAGTACCTGGCTCCGCAGTGCCTCCTGCTGCCTGCCTCACTCTCCATGACAGTCAGTTCCTCTTCTGTCCACCGGGATCATTCTCACCTAAAGCAGGAAGCAGCTCCCCTGTCCCTACCTGCCATGGGGCAAGGGTGAAAGGGCTCACTGCATTTAAAAGGCAGCACAGAAGAACCTGTTAATTGCACTTTGACTCTATCCCCTATATGAAACCATAATTATACACTGTCCAGCCAGACTGGAAAGTCCTGGAAGGTACTGATGGTACCTTGGGCTTTCTACCCTAAGGCAGGCAGTAGGGACGGTAGACACAGGACAGGCCGGAGTGGCAGAGAGTGGAGATGGCAAGTTCTGGAGTCGGGCTGTCTCGGTTCAGCTCCGGGGTTTGCCACTTACTAGCTATGGCCCAATGTCTCTGGGCCTCACTTTCCTTAAAGTGGCCCTGACCATATCTCACGGTAAAAAGCTTGTGTGAGGAGTAAACAAGACAGCACACACCATGCACTTGGCACTGAAGTCAGGTACTGCCACTTACAGCAGTGGGACCTTGGGCAAATTCATCTTCATGTGCCTCAGTGTCTCCATCTATCAAAGGGGCAGTAATCCCCTCCTCACTGACTGATGGTGAACATGAGACCAACTTGGAAAAGCTTCTAGCACCAAGCAGGTACCCAGGAGCCTCTTGTGACAGTGGAGCATCCGTAGCGTTTCACACTGCTCAGCCAGCTTCTGTCAACATTTACCTCCCCCTGGTAACTAGCATGGGAAATGCGATGAAAGCCCAATGAGCTGCCGCAGCAGAAATGAACTTGGAAATGACCTCTCACTTATTCCTCTCTCACATGCCTGCATCGTTCAGCGCTTGAGCCTCAAGAGCTAGCCTCTTTTTGTCTGAGAGTTAGAAACGGCCTGGTTTGGGATGAAGGTTGTTTTTGTTTCATTTTGCTTTATAAACAGAGACACTCCCTGGTTTCTCTTCTGAAAGGCTGAGGAGGAAGCTGAGTCAGGTGGGGTGGGGTGAACGTGAAATCGCTCACCCTTCCCTTGCCGTGGGTCTGGCTTACCCAATCACTGCACACTGCCTTGTACATCAGCCATGTTCAGTGTCCCACTTTAGGCCCATTTCTCTAATGACATGAAAAACAACTGTGTTCTTTCGGAATGTGGCAGGGCATAGTGGAAAGAGCAAGGGCTTTAGGAGTCTTAGCCTGGCTTGGAATTCCAGCCCCACCACTTGGTAACTGAGCCGAAGATCGGGCAAGTCAGGAAATGGTACAGCCAGGCTGTCACCCGCCAAGTGGTGGTAGCGCCTGTGCTGTGGGATTACGGTAAGGTTCAGTGTTAATAGATGTAAATCCTGTGGAAAAGCACAATGGAATTGAAATATCTCCATGACGCCACCTTCTCTTCCCTTTCAGAATGAAATCCCAGGTCCTGGATTCTACAATGTCATTCACCAGTCACCAGTGTCCAACAGTGTCTCATTGTCCAAGAAAGGAACATGCATGTTTCCCTCGATGGTGAGAACCACTTCTCTTGACTAAAGCATTAACTGGTCAGTAATTTCCTTCATTCATTGCATAATTATATCTTGGACATCTGGTCCTTTCTCTCCAAAGGCCCATGGTTCTAATTAGGAGAGTAACTGCCTCCTCAAATTTCATGCAGGTAAATTGGACCCTGTGTCTCTAAGTAACTTTTTCCCATCTCTACCCATTGCCAGGGTGGGAAGAGAAACCAGAGGAATCTTCAGGACTTGGTCCTGCCAAACCAATTTTGTCATCAGTGAGTGGACTAAGCAAGTATTTTCCTGAGATGTTTAGGCATACCAGGAAATTGTTACTCTTACACATCTTGGTGTAATATGATTTTTACAATGCTTAATCTAATTGGTTGTCAAACTATTGAGAAATCTGATAGGACTAAAAAGAAAGCCAGCGGTGGGCCTGAAATGTACTGGCCCCACCCCATTCCTTCTCTTTGTAAATTGGGACTTAATTTTGGTTGAGGGCTGTAGCAATCAAGCAGCTGTATGAATTGCCAATGACTCTGACCAGAGTTGGGCAAAGATAGGCTTCTTAGAAATATTTATACATTGTCAAGAAAAACAGATACAGCAAAATAGATAAATGATCAAGAAAAATAGATACAGCAAGGGGAAAGATACAAACTAGGGTAAGGCTGCCTGAGGAAGAAAAGTGAAAAGTGGACAGGCATGGTGGCTCATGCCTATGATGCCAGCATTTCAGGAGGCCAATGTGGGAGCATCACTTAAGCCCAGGAGTTCAAGGCCAGTCTGGGCAACACAGTGAGTCTCCATCTCTACAAAATAATTTTAAAATTAGCCAGGAGTGATGATGTGTGCCCATAGATCCCAGCTACTCAGGAGGCTGAGGTGGGAGGATCACTTGAGCCCAGGAGGTTGAGCCTGCAGTGAACTATGATTTCACCATCACACTCCAGCCTGGATGAGAGAGGCAGACTCTATCCCCCCACCCCCTGTGCCAAAAAAAAAAAAAAAAAAAAAAAAAAGTGAAAAGAAAGCAAGCCCAGACTCTAACATTAAATTAATAAACATATGCCATCTTTTTCCTTTAAAAGTTATAATAATTTCTTGCACAGATGTATTCTGATGCCTGACATTGGAACTGATTTTTTTTTAACCACACAAAGGGATCATTTAAGATACACTAAACATAGCCACGTCTTATTGGAATTCGAATTTGGCAGAGTTGGATACTCAAGGAACAGACCAGCTTTGGAGTTAACTCCCCATTACCGAAGAAGCTGAGTTTGTACATGGCCTCAGTAGGTTCACAGAACAACCATGCCTCTACTTATTTTTCTGCCACCAGCTCTGCTAGGAAAGAAATTCAAAAGAAGTGCCGTCTCATGAAGTCCTGGTGTAGAAGACAAGACTTCAGACCTGATCCTGCCTCAGCTGTGGATTCTTGACGTGACCTCAAGCACGTCACCCTTCTGTGTCCCAGTTGCCTCATGAAAGTGGAGACTCCCTGGAGGCACTGGGCAAATTAACATTGCAATGAGTGAAATACTCTTTGAAACAGCAAAGCATTATAAACATGCTGAATATTATGATTGTTACCACCTGAGTCACAAACAATACTTCCTGCAACACCTAGGTTTTCTCTCCGAGAACTTCTTTGCTAAATAATGGCACTGCCCATTCCTTCTTGGTGCCAAAAAAGAGACTGAATCAGAGGACATGATTGGTTGTCTACAAGGCTTTGCGTGCGGTAACTTTCCAAAGGAAAAGCCGGACTATCTGGAGGAGAAGGGGCCCAAGGCAAGAGCTGAGTGTTACAGAACCTAGCCACACCTTACAGGCCTTTAAAAAATTCAGAACCAAACCCCAAAGAAGGCAGACTTTTGAGCTGTTCAGGCTTCCCCCCTCCTCCCTTTCACAAATATGGGAATTTGTATTTATAGTTACGTTACACTCAAGTATAAACACTTAAGGTCCTGTAGCTGGGGATGGGTGCCTGAAGTGGTCGATGGAGATCTAGTAGGAGATCCCTGCATCTTACCTCATTCCTGTGTGAACTGGATGAGAATTTCATATCCCCCCACCCCACTGCCTCTTTCAGTAACTTTCACCTTTAGCACCTCCTCCACTTCTGGATCCCAAGACGTGAAGGGAATTAAAAGTAGCTCTCATCAGAGAAAGATCAGAATGACCAGTAGGAATGTGACTATGGGTGAGGCTGACCAAAAAACTCTGTGGGTCTATAAATTTTTGAAACTTCCTCATGACTGTTGAAACAACTACACCCAACCTTTTGAGAGACCTGTCATCTCTCTAAGTCCGAATGATATAAAGAGCTTTATTAGTATATTCCAAATCTTTGCTCCAGAATCTTCCACAGTACTGACTAGGAGCAGTGTATGAGGCAGGTGGGTGGAGAGTTTGATGGCCTGTCTGTATTTGCATGCTGGCAGGAGTGGCTCTAGAAAAGTTAGTAGGTGCTGGAGAGAAGTTCATAAATGCCGGCGTATGGCCAGATTGGAGGCCACAGGTCTGGCAAGTAAACCAAGGGGTGTGTAGTGTTGGTGAGTGAGTGTTACTGTAGCCACACTCTGAGACTAATTCTATTACAATACTTTATAAAACATTGCCTCTACTGGAACTTTTTCGGGAAGAATTTTTTTCATTTTCAAAATGTAAGTTGTAGGTGTTCTAAACCAAAAAAGAGTCTATGATTGAAAGGGCTTGCTGTTACCCCAGGGCCATACCACTCGACGTTTTCCTCTTTAGAATGGGATCTCTGATCCATGTCATGTAATGGAGGCCGACTGCTTGGGTAGGAATGCTGGTCCTCCACCTGAATTAGCTAAGGAAGTTCAGCTTCCTGATCTGTAAAAGTAGAGATAATCATAAGATCCACTGCTCAGGGTTGTCGTGAGGATTCAACACAAAAACCCACCAAAAGTATTGGTTAACTCTTGGCCAGAATGAAAAAGACGAAGCATGTTCAAGGCTGGGGTGACCTTACTTCTAGGAGCATCAGCAAATCCTTACACACTGCATGCGGCCACTTCTTATTAGAATTCGAGTTTGGCAGAGTTGGATACTCAAGGAACAGACCAGCTTTGGAGTTAACTCCCCATTACTGAAGAGGTTGAGGTCGAGCTGGGGCTTGAACCCAGGTTAGGCTCTGAACAACTTAGGCTCTGGACAAGAACACTCCCACTTCTGGTGATGCTACACCCACCCAAATGCTAGGGGTGGTCCATAAACCGGACGCTGAGGACCGTCACCACCAACCACAGAGTGAAGTAGGGGGGCCCTAATGCCTTCCTTTGGGCTCACCCATGTTCTGTGTTTGTGTAGTTATTGATTCCTATCAAGTGAGAAAATCCAGGGCAATGTTCTCAAGCTTTTGACCATTAAATAGTAGGAAATATTTTGTTTTATCAGACTCTAATATTTGCTATCTTAGGGGAAAGTGATGTTATCACTGAGTTTCTGTAACTTTTGTCCCTGTTCTTTTGACAAACATTGATTCTGTTTGTTTTTTAACTGAAGATAATTTATCGTGGCTTCCTGAAAGGAGTGGGATTGGTTCTGTTAAACAGTGAAAATACTGTAGGATTTGATGAAAACAGTAATTTGGTGGAGAGTAGGAGGCACGGAGGGACAACAAGCCCCCTGAGCTTTGTTTGAAGCAAACTCGTTGCTTAGGCAGTTCAGATCATTTAATCTTAGAAACAAGATGTGAGATTTTACTCAGAAGAAAAGCCTAGGCTGAGAAGAGCGTCTAAAGCTTCCTATCACGTAAATTACCCAACAGCTGATGAGTCAAGGGTAAGTGGCCTGGAACAGGATTGGGTGGAAATGCATTTATGGCAAAATCATTTTTGCCAAGTCCCAAACAGAAGATGAATAATTTGAGTTAGTTTACAGAAGCGAGTACAGGTCTCAACTTGTGTTTTCCAAGGGAAGATCCTTAAAGCCCGAGGTCAGTTTATCGTTGTTACCTGCCAGAGTTTTGCCTTTTATAAAATGCATTTAGACCTTGTGCTGGTCACCATCTCTTTGACATCTGTCCTTCAGAGCCAAAATATTATGTGACAATGCTGATTCCTTTTGTTGTCTCCTTACAGCGCGCCCGATTGGACACCATCATTTCTAAATACCCTGCAGCGAATGCATACACTATCCCATCGGACTTTATTTCCAAGAGAGACTTTAGTAATTCATGTTCCAGCATGTTCCAGTTGCCAAGCTTTATGAAAGTTCTCAAATTTGAAACTCCTGCACCAAACTATTACAATGTAAGAACTCTGCCTTTGCTTGCTAAATATAGATCAAATGAATGGTTTACTGAAATAAAAGAAAGAGGGGATCTTGGGGACATCATATTTTAATGCAATTGTCAAGCCAGTTAGCATTTGTTGACTACCCAATGGGTGCCTAAGGATGTACACGTCTCTTTCAGGAAGTTTGCAGGCCCCGGAGATCAGGGCGGGCAATGTGGAGGCCAGTATAAAGTGGGGAGGCCACTGCCCTGAGAAACACATATTCTAATTACTCTCATCCTGTAACCTTTCTGGGACATAGTTTTCTCATCTGTAACAATGGGTGTATTATTTACCATTTTGTCTGCAGCCACTAGTGATTTACTTTTTAGGTTCTTCTAGGGAAAATAAACTTTCATATCAGAAAATAGGTGTTTTAACAGTTGTGCTCTGCTGTGCCAATTATGATCGCTTTGTATTCACTGAGGCAGAATGGCATGGATGGTTAAGAGATGGATTCAGGAAGGTTTGGTTTAGCTCTCGTCTCTGCCACTTTCTAACTGCGTGGCCTTGGGCAAGTCCCTTAACCTTTCCAGGGCTTAGTTTATTGATCTGTAAAATGGGGATGTATGTTCACCTCATCGTGTCAATGCAAATATTAAATGAGATAATGTGTGCTGCATGCCCAGGACAGCACCAGTCACACAAGGACCACACAATACATGGAGATTGGTAGGGCTGTCTTTGTTAGTACATGAAGGGTATTTACTTACCCTTAAATATGAGGCAAGTAAGTCACAGCCCCCACAGTACAATGGAATCAATTCTACTCGCCCTACAGCGTTACCATAAGGCCACGAACATGAAAGCACTCTGAAGTGCGTAAGACATGAATTGTACTTAAGATATTAATGTTACTATGCCATTTTCCAAGCTATTTTGGTTTTATACCTTTATTATGCCATTTACTTTTTTCCTTCATAATATTTATAATTAATAATTATCTTTCTGACTACAAAGATCCTGCCCACCTTCTATGATGGATTCAAGCAATTATAATGTGTCCCAAGTAATATAAGTGCCTGCTAGGCCAGCACTGTCCACTAGGAGTGAAATGGGAGCCACAGACATCATTAAAGATTTTCTTTCTTTTTTTTTTTTTTGAGACGGAGTCTCGCTCTGTCACCCAGGCTGGAGTGCAGTGGTGCGATCTTGGCTCATTGCAAGCTCCGCCTCCCTGCCTCATGCCATTCTCCTGCCTCAGCCTCCTGAGTAGCTGGGACTACAGGCACCCGCCACCACACTTGGCTAATTTTTTGTATTTTTAGCAGAGACAGGGTTTCACCATGTTAACCAAGATGGTCTCGATCTCCTGACCTCGTGATCCGCCCGACTCGGCCTCCCAAAGTGCTGGGATTACAGGCATGACCCACTGTGCCCGGCCTCATTTAAGATTTTCTAGTAGCCACATCTAAAAAGAAAAAGGGACAGATAAAGTTAATTTGAGTAATATAGTTTACCCAACAGATCCAAAATATTATCATTTCAACACTAATCAATATAAAAGTTATGAATTTTATATTTGAGGAAGATTATTTTCCTTGTACTGAGTCTTTAAAATCCAGTATGTGTTTTATTCTTCCAGCACATCTTAATTTGGGCCAGCCACATTTCCAGGGCCAATAGCCACATGCAACCTGTGGCTACTATACTGGGCAGTACAACTCCAGGCAGTCTTCCCTCGGCATAATCAGAGCCTGAAAATAATGATGATGATGAGGAGGAGAAGGATGAAGCCCTTCTCATGTACTAAGTGCTGGTCTAAGAGTTATATATTAATCATATTTAATACTCACAAGTGAATCCATAACGTGGATTATCTTGTTCCCAGTATAAAGAAGTGAAAGCTGAGGCTCAGAGAGGTGAAGGGACTTGGCCAAAATTCCCCAGCTTGAAGGCATCATTTGCACATCAGTGGGCACTGGTGGATGACTGGGGTGGAAAGCTGGGGAAAGGTCAGAGTCACCTCATTCCAGCCCTGACAGGCTTCCCTCCGTGGATCCTATTGCTCCTCCGTGCCAGGCTGGTGATACAGCTTAGATTCCAGTGGGAAATTCAGAAAAGAACAGGTAAACAAACAAAATAATTACAAACTGTGATCAATTTGAGGGTCAGCTGGAGCCTGAGGGAGAATATGTGGGAGATATGGAGGTTGGCAGTACCACATACTTTAGACTTGGTGGTCAGAGAAGGTGCCGAGGCTGAGACCCAAGGACTGAGGAAGAGCCAGGGTTGGAGAAAGAGCATGTGCCAAGGTCCTGGGACAGCAAGGAGCTCAGCCCACGAGGACCTACAGGAAGGTCGAGTGGCTAGTGTAGCATGAGCAAGAGGAGGGGGAGAAGGGGGCACCAGACAGGCAGTGGCCAGTTCACGCAGGGCCCTGAAGATCCCAGGAGGAAGTTTACATTTTGTTCTCTGGGTCCTAGGAAGCCCATGAGGGGGTTGGAGGTATGGGGTGGCGTGATCTGATTTTTTTTTTTTTAGACAGGGTCTTGCTATGTTGCCCAGGCTGGAGTGCAGTGGCACAATCTTAGCTCACTGCAACCTCCGCCTCCCCAGTTCAAGTAATTCTCCTGCCTTAGCCTCCCAAGTAGCTGGGATTACAGGCGCATGCTACCACGCCCGACTAATTTTGGTTTTTTTTTTTTTTTTTTTTTTTTTAGTAGAGATGGGGTTTCACCATGTTGGCCGGACTGGTCTCGAACTCCTGACCTCGTAATCCACCCACCTCGGCCTCCCAAAGTGCTGGGATTACAGGCATGAGCCACTGCATCCAGCCATTCTGATGTGTTTTTTTAAAAGTTCCTTCCGGCTGCTGTGTGGTGAATGGACTGCAGTGTGGGTTGGGGGTTCTGAAAAACCAGTGAGGAGACTATTATGCTGACAGGAGAGATGGCAAGGTGTGGTCCAAGAAACTGATCAGAAAGGGGCTTAACCATTGCCCCTTTGCCAATCCCAAGTGGCAACCAGGCTACTAGGGAGACAGATACAGGAACGGACTGTTTGTGCGGATGCCCCTCTCTGCAGCCTCCCAGTTGTAGCTGAGGGACGCCACCGTCAGTGTTTCATGCGCCATTCTCCCCAAATCGCTGTCTATTCCTTCACCTGGCTTCCTGTCTCCAATGCCCAGCACAGGTCCTGGGATGCAGTAAGCATCCATCAGTGTTTATGATATCAAAGGAATAACTTTCCAGTAATATACAGTTGTTAATCTAGAAAGGACCACTTCCCAAGTCAGAATTGTGTCCTTCTGCCAACAGATACATTTAGGTGCATATTTTTTGTTCATTATTGTCTTAATATGACCCTGAAAATAATACACGCTCATCAAAAAATATATTCAAGCCCTGTAGAAACCCATGAATTAGAAAGTGGAAGTCCCTTATAATTCTATTTCCCAAAGCAAACCACTGCGTTAGAAACCAGGTGCAGACTGGGCACAGTGACTCATGCCTGTAATCCCAGCACTTTGGGAGGCCAAGGCAGACAGATCACCTGAGGTCAGGAGTTTGAGACCAGCCTGGCCAATATGGGGAAACCCTGCCTCTACTAAAAATACGAAAATTAGCCAGGCATGGTGGCACACACCTGTAACCCCAGCTACTCGGGAGGCTGAGGCAGGAGAATTGCTTGAACCCGAGAAGCGGAGGTTGCAGTGAGCCAGCATCGCACCATTGCACTCCAGCCTGGGCAGCAGAGTGAGACTCCATCTCAAAACAAAACAACAAAACAAAACAAAGAACTAACCAGGTGCAGTTTCTTTCATATTCTCTCCTACCTCTGTCCCTCCACCAGTGTTAGCATTATGCTGTACACAGCACACATGCATTTTCTTCTTAGATTTCTTTCCATGGCAATACAATAAATCTGCTTCAGTCTTTTTTAACCTGCTGAATATTTTCCTGGCCCCATGGAGAAATCTTCCAGTGACGCACACTCAGCGTATACAAAAATGTTCCCTTTTTCAGTTGCTTTTCTGTCTGGGTGAAAAATAAAGCCAACATGCTGTTTTGTCTACAGGTGGCTTTTTTTCAGGCCAGGAGAACAATGGTTGAGTCAACTGGTGAGGAGTAGAAATGCAGTAATCCTGTTAGCCACACTGTGCTTTGAGGTCTGTCAAAGCCTTTCTCTGCCTTTGCTGCCACCATCCCTCATTTGTATATTCGAGTCCTCTTCCTTGGTACTGTGTTATTACCTTCTCTCCGGCAACCTGGCTCCTCTCCCCACTCCCCACGTCCAGTAATTAACCTGTCCCATCTGGTCTCTTTGTTTGCCCTCTCTGCATGCCGTCTAGCCATTAGGGCCCTGGGAAAAGCTAAATTCCTCCACCTTTGTAAACACAAAATCAAAATGCCATCTGCATTTCTCAAGAAACATTTTTTTTGACAAAGGAGTATCACAGCAAATCAAACCATCCTGGCCCCAGCAAATAGTTTCACTCATTCAGCAAATATCCCCAGCAATCACAGGTTTAATTTGTATTGCCTCTGTTCTCCAATGAATACAGGAGACTGCAAATTGGCATTTAAAATATTTATGATTCATGTGTAACAGAAGAATGATCTCAGGGTTTTTTCCTATTATTTTTAGAGTTCTGAACACATCGCACACTCTCCAATGTATTTCATGAGTTGGCCAGAATGCTTAATTTCTGATCAGTTCAGGAAAGTCGAGACAAGGGAGTGCTTGCAAATGTGATCACAATGTTAAATGATACGACTTTCTTGTGCGCCCCAAATGCTGCATTTATAGAAGGGCTATTTGAACAGTGAGCAGTGCACCTAGGAATGAGGATGGGGATGGGTAGGACTGTGTGTCCTGAAAACAGTAAAAATAGTAGAAAACCAAGTGCAGTGGCTCATGCCTGTAATCCCAACAGTTTGGGAGGCCGAGGTAGGCAGATCATTTGAGTGTAGGAGTTCAAGACCAGCCTGGGCAACATGGTGAAATCCCATCTCTACAAAAAAATACAAAAAAATTAGCCAGGTGTGGTGGCGTGTGCCTATAGTCCCTGCTACTCTGGAGGCTGAGGTGGGATGATTGCTTGAGCCCGGGAGGCAGAGGTTGCAGTGAGCTGAGATGGCACCACTGCCCTCCAGCCTGGGCAACACAGTGAGACTCTGTCTCCAAAAAAAAAAAAAAAAAAGTAGCAACAAAATGAAGATAATTTTCAGGTGTAGCATTACACACTTCAAAAAAAAAACCACTTTCCTAGAGGTGATCTCTGTTGGCCCACCCCTACTCCCTGATGGAACTCCACAGCAAGTGGAGCCGACTGTCCAATCCGTTTTACAGATGACGAAACTTGGTTTCAGAGAGGTTACAGATGCAGGACCACACAGCCTGTCCTAACAGAAGTGAGCCTGGAAGCCGGCCTGCAGCTAGCTGTGTGCTCTGTTCCTTTTTGAGTGACCAGCATTTTCTGGGGATCACAGACTCATAGACCACTTGAGCTGGGATGACGGGGAAGCCACAGCCAGCGTGACCTTTACAGCTCACATCTTTACATTTGCTAAGAAGGACAGGTTTCAGTTTGATTTTTTTTTTACGTACATTTGCCACTTGTCCAGGCATGATGACAAAGACAAAGAGAGGAAAGGCACCGAGTACATTGGGTGTATTTTCTCCCCCCAGGCCTCTGTCTCTTGCTGCAAGCAGAGAAACAACGTCTGTGCCCGAGCCGGGTTTATGTCAAAAACCCAAAGAGGATCTTTCATTTTTGCTGAAAAAGGACCTCCCCCAGGTAAGCAGCTGCTTTGCCCTGGCCTTGACCTAAGGGTTAAGTGTCCCAGATTTGATTTGCAGGGCACCTACTTCTCCATAGGGAGTCTTTGGAAGGATTTAGTCTTTGGGTGGGGAGGAGTAGCAGGCAGGTACTGAACAAAGAGGAGAGGTGAGAAGACAGCCAGCTCTCCCCCCCAAGGAGGACAGGCTGGCTCTGGAAATGGGCCTCCAAAGCAGCTTCCGGGCCTCCCCTTTTATGACCTGGCATACCTGCTCTGGGCAGCCAAGTGGAGAAGTGACTTCTCACCTCAGAAGTGCGCACATTTGTATACCCCAGGTGCCATCAGAGGCCACTGGGGAGGGGTGGGAGATACAGGGCATGACCATACATCCTGTTCCTTCTACACTCAGCTGCCATGTTCCTTTTCTCCTGTGGCAGAGGTGACTTCATCATTAGTCGTGAAACGGAGGAGGCAGCTCTGTTTCCGGGGCACCCACTCAATGGTTTCCATGCAGTCTTGCAGGTCTGCCCTCGTAGGTTCGTCCACTTAGCCCTGCTTTTCAGATGCGGAAATGGAGGCTCAGAGAGTTGAAATGACTTGCCCAGTGTCACACAGCCGGTAAATGGCAGACACAAGCCCAGAGAGATCTCACTAAGGAGCCCACATCCTCCATCATTCCATTGTCCCTTCTGGAACCTCCAAGATGCAGGAATAACAAGAGCTTTCCTCCAAGTGTTTCCCCTGCTGGCCTTGGGGCAAGGTGTTGCACCTCTCCTGTGCTCTCTGACCGCCAGTCCTGGAGCACTCATTATGTTAGATTATCCCAAATAGGTCCCACAGACCACGCCCCACCCCCAGGATCCTTGGGCACCAGAGCTACCCCAGGAGCCTTGGGCCCAAACCAGGAGGAGCAGGGAAGGTTTGCTTCTGCAATCACGCCTCTTGCAGAGGGGTGTGGATAAAATTGTAGTGCATGTCAGATTTCAGCAAATCCAGATTAAAGTTGAAAAGATCAATCTGAAGCTGAATAACAAAACCAGCGCTAATTAGGAAGCTCAGCCCCAGTTCATGCTCCCCTGCCTTGCATCATCCATGGGCAAAACCCCACCTTGTCTGTTTATACAGAAGAACAAAGCCCATCCCTGGGGTTGGCCAGAGTCCCTGCCAGTGAGCCTTGGGATGCGGGCACCTCCACAGTCCACCACCTGCTCCTGCTCCCTCCTGGGGGGGGGGGGATCCTGAGAAGCCCCCAGCCCCTTATAACACAGAACAGGAGGGGAAGGGCGGGTACTAGCATCTGTTAAGCTCCCCGTGGGTGCCGGGGCCTTACATTCATTATCTCATTGAATGCTCCAAAGCCCCATGGAGCAGGCACTCACCACGTAATCATGTGCTCAGAAAGTGTGAGCTGTTCTTACTTTATCCCCACTTCACCGACAGAGGTGATAGAAAAGCAGATGATGGGCCCAGTGTCCCACAGCTGGATTTCTTTTAGTTTTTGTTTTTGTTTTTTGGAGATGGAGTCTTCTCTGTCACCCAGGCCGGAGTACAGTGGCACGATCTCGGCTCACTGCAACCTCCGCCCTCTGGGTTCAAGTGATTCTCCTGCCTCAGCCTCCCGAGTAGCTGGGATTACAGGCATGCGCCACCACGCCCAGCTAATTTTTGTATTTTTAGTAAAAACGGGATTTCACCACGTTGGCCAGGCTGGTCTCAAACTCCTGACCTCAAGTGATCTGTCTGCCTTGGCCTCCCAAAGTGCTGGGATTACAGGTGTGAGCCACCACACCCAGCCCCACGGCTGGATTTCAATCCAGGCTCATCTAGTTCAATACCTGGTACCTTCTCACCCCCCACCCCAGCTTCCTGGCGGCTGGCTCTCTCTGGTAGTGGCAGCATAAATGCCTTCTATTCCTTGCTTTTGCTTTTCATTGTTTTCCGTATTTTGTAATTCAAGTGTTGCTATAACCTTTTTAGTAGAAATATATATATGAAACAAAGAATATGAGAGTTATCCAATATTGTAAATGCTGCTGACATCTGCTTTTTTAAAAATTTAAGTATATACTGGGAACTTCTTTTTTTTTTTTTTTTTTGTTTTGAGAAGGAGTCCTGCTCGTGATCAGCTAGGCTGGAGTGCAGTGGTGCATCTCAGCTCACTGCAGCCTTCGCCTCCTGGGTCCAAGTGATTTTCCTGCCTCAGCCTCCAGAGTAGCTGAGACTACAGGTGTGCGCCACCACACCTGGCTAATTTTTTTTTTGTATTTTTAGTAGAGATGGGGTTTCACCATATTGGTCAGACTGGTCTCAAACTCCTGACCTCAAGTAATCCGCCCACCTTGCCCTCCCAAAGTGCTGGGATTATAGGTGTGAGCCACTGTGCCCAGCTGATACTGGGAACCTGTTTTCATGTTAGTAAAAATCCTTTTGGAACATCATTTTAAATAAATATATAGTATATTATTATATGATGGTACCATACATTAAGGAAGCAGTATTGTCTTATTGGAAATTGTGATTGTTCTGAATTGATTGCTAATATGAATAGAGTAGTGGAGAACATCCATGCACAGCGCTACTGACAACTTAGGGGTGAGATGGCTTCCTCTTCACCCCAGTTTTGGTTATTCTCTTCTTCCTTAAAGCTTTGTACACAAATTTATTTTATTCTGTCACAGTTTCTCAAGACAGGGCATTGTGGCATGGTGAGGAAGTGTGGGCTTTGGAGACAAGCAGACCAGTCTCTACATAGTGGTGCTCCATACATACATGTTAGCTGGGCATAATGGCTCACACCTGTAGTCCTAGCACTTTGGGAGGCTGAGGTGGGAGGATTGCTTGACCTAACGAGTTCAAGACCAGCCTGGGTAAAATAATGAGACCTCGTTTCTACCAAAAAAGAAATTTTTTTTTTTAAATTTTTAGGATGTGGTGGTACATACCTGTAGTCTCAGCTACTCGGGAGGCTGAGATGGGAGGATCACTGAGCCCAGCAGGTTGAGGCTGCAGTGAGCTGTGATCATGTCCCTGCATTCCAGCCTGGGCAACAGAGCAAGACTCTATCTCAAAACAAACAAAAAAGATAGTTGTTGATTGCATGATATTTACAAAGCAACCACTATATGCTAGGAACTTAAAATATTATTCAACTATCATAACAACTCTGTTGTCAGAAGAATTATTATTCTTACTTTGTAGAGAAGGAAAACTGGGCTTCAGCAAGGTGGAGAGATTTATCTAAGTCCCTGGTTAGATGAATGTCCTTTGGCAAATTATTTAATATCTCTGAGTCTCGGTTTCCTCACATTTAGAATAAAAGCAGTAATACTCATCTTGCCAGGCTAGTGCGAGAACTAAATCAGCTAAGTGTGTGCTTCCCGTGCCATCTGTTCTCTGCTTGGTGAGGACTGTTTTTGTTTATCTCAGGCAGCCCTTCCACTTGACCATCCTAGAGTGATGTTGCCTTACAGCCATCAAGTGTGTTCTTAGGGGTAAGGTACTACTTTTTATTTACTTGAGAAGAGTTCCTTATTCTGTCATAAAATTTCTTTCTCCATAGGGCATTATGATATCAACGAATCCCTTGTGAAGCAGTCGCCAAACACATTAATGTCTTGTTTTAAATCAAAAACCAACCGTGGATTAAAACTGACGTCAACAGGCCCGGGACCCGGTTATTACAACCCTGGCGATTGCACAAAAGTTCCAAAAAAGACTCTTTTCCCGTGAGTCCCGATCATTCTGATCTTTCTTTTGAAAGGTGGTTGTGGGGAAGGAGCCCAACATAGAGAAAAGGCAGGGGTGTCACTGCTTGGCAGAACACAGTGCCAGGCCACTCTTCAGGGGCCCTTAGTCACACATAATGGTGCTCAATAAATGCCTGTTGAATGCCTGATATTTATTGAGCAACTACTGTGTGCCAGGAACTTAAAATTGTATTCAATTATTACTATAATCCTGTTGAAAGAATTGTTATTCTTACCCCATAGAGGAGGAAGCAAGGCTTCGGATTTGGGGGGAGATTTGCCTAAGTCCACACAGCTAAAGTGAGGAGCCACAGGGAATTGGCTCAGGACGAAGTCTGTCCTCATTCCCTGTGATGCTGGATTCCTCTGGTGCTGACATCGTTGTATTTTTGTAACATAAAATCCTCGCTGGAGTGGCAGGACATTCAGAAGCAGTCCGGCTCTCGCAGCTTTATACTGATGGAAGTTTAAGCCCCGACTTTGGAGTTGGTGATACCTGCTGGATTTGTACTTCAGCTCTGCTGTTTTTATGCTCTGTGACCTTGGGCAGAGTTCTAACCTCTCTGAGCCTCCGTGCCCTCATCTGTAAAGTGGGAATAATTCCTGCCTCATAGGATTGCTTTCAGAATTAAAAATATATGTTTGGCTGGGCGCAGTGGCTTGCGCCTGTAATCCCAGCACTTTGGGAGGCCGAGGTGGGTGAATCACTTGAGATCAGGTGTTCGAGACCAGCCTGGCCAACATGGTGAAACCCTGTCTCTACTAAAAATACAAAAATTAGCCAGGCATGATGGTGCATGCCTATAATCCCAGCTACTCAAGAGGCTGAGGCAGGAGAATCACTTGGACCTGTGAGGCTGAGGTTGTGGTGAGCCGAGATTGTGCCACTGCACTCCAGCCTTGGTGACCGAATGAGACCCTGTCTCAAAAAAAAAAGGTAAATAAAATATATGTTTGGCATTGGCATTGCAGCTGGTGACTCAATATTAACACAGATTTTTAAAAATAAATACAGGGATTTGTGTTACCCTGTTTAATATCCTGCACATTTTATATTACTCTCACCTAAGAGTCTCAAACACTCACAGGGCTTATTTATTTCTCGAATGGTTCTAGAACTTCTGGAACTAACAGCAGTTAGGGTTAGTCCTCCTGTTACCATCTCAGCTCTCACCCTGGTGCAGCCCCTCCAGACACAGCTGGCCAATGGGAGGGCTGGCCAGGTGGGACCAACCATATATCCACCTGGGCCCCTCCGGAGAGATCAGGCAGGTGGTAGGAGCCATAGCCACAGTGGGTCAGAAGTCCAGGCAACCCAGGGAGGCTGACAACATTGGGCATAGTCTGATCATCAGCCTAGGGCAAGGGGACCACTGTTAGAGAGAGGTGAGAGTTGTGAATCTGCCAAGTTGAACTTAGAATCTGGAGAGGGGATTGAGACCTCCGCTGGAATCCACCAGAGGAGTCCCTTCTGCCCTCCAGGGCTAGGGCTCTGCAGGCTGGCCTTGTACAGGCTGTAGGGCCAGGGGCTGGGGCAGGCCAGTCTCCAGGAACAGCTCTCTCTCTGGAAAGCCTCTCTCCAGAGACCTCCCGCCTCCAGGTTGGCATGCGGCATCTCTACAAGCAACTGTTCCTTTACTCTGCCAGAGGAAGGTGGTCAAGAGGACAGGTATTGGGGTTGGCCGACCAGAGTATGAATCCCAGCTCTGTACCTTCCAGAGACTTCTCTCTGAGCCTGAGTTTCATGTTATTAAGTAGAGATAAGAATCTTGTAGGGATTCCGTGAAGATTCGATGAGAAGATGTTGGAAAATAGCTATTACCGGCTGGGCGTGGTGACTCACGCCTATAATCCCAGCACTTTGGGAGCCCAAGGCAGATGGATCACTTGAGGCTAGGAGTTCAAGACCAGCCTGGCCAACATAGCAAAACCCCATCTCTACTAAAAATACAAAGCTGGGTGTGGTGGCGGGCGCCTGTAATCCCAGCTACTCAGGAGGCTGAGGCAGGAGAATTGCTTGAACCCAGGAGGTGGAGGTTGCAGTGAGCCAAGATCACACCACTGCACTCTAGCCTGGGTGACAGAGCAAGACTTGGTCTCAAAAAGAAAGAAAATAGCTATTACCCTTATAATGATAGCTGTGGTTATTGTATATCCTATAGACATATTAGGCTATATTATACAATATGGCTGTTATTTGGCATGGCAGCTCAAGCCCCCAGCCCAAATTTGGAAGCTTCTTCAAGGAAAATGGTGAAATAACATAAGAGTGGAGGACACTTGGTTTTTAACTGTTTTATCTGGAGAAGTATCTTCTGGCTTTTGCTCAAGTTTGAGCAGGTGGTTTGAGATCATTCTTATTTTATGGTGGTTGCATTTGTCAGTCATCAGGCTCTATAGATTTCTAGTTCTGTACTGGAGGCTCAGGTGAACAGGACACCACGCCTCCAGCCAGCCTCATCTGGGAACAGCCTCGAAGCCAAGTGGGGGAGCCTGCAGCAAAATGCTGGGTTAGGTGGCCTCAGGGGTGTGTGGCCATGCACATCCCGTGGGGCCGTCTTCCCACTGGGCAGTGCAGCGGGGCTGCGTGTCTGGGGCTTCTAGGGATCGCTGTCTGTCTGTCAATGCTTCATAAATAAAAGGTCTTTGGTTAATAAGTCTGAGAAGCACTGCATGGTAACCCTCTGCCCCTGAGAACATCGCAGTCTGCACAGGCATCTTAAAGGCTCTGAGAAGGGCAGGGAACAGCTGATCACGTCTCCTGGGGAGGCCATGGAGGCGGCGTGGGCAGTGGATTGATTAGTGCAGACTCCAAAGTCAGTACCGTGGAACCTCCACTTTCCCCTCTCACCAGCCAGGTGGGCCTGGGGGAAGGGAGGTCACTTAACTCCCAGTGAATTCAAAGTCGTCTTTGGTGAACAGGGATAAGAGTACCTCATAATGTGGTTGCAAGGATAAAAGGAGATAACCCACAAAACTCACATGGTAACTTGTATTTTTATCAAAGCAGGTGAGCAGGTCTTCCGAGTCTTCCTAGGGTTTCTAGTGTGGCCCCTTAGGGCAGATGCTGTGCTGGGGGCTGGCTGTTTGTTAGCACTGGCATTTCTGAGCTCCTTAGCTAAAGGTCACACCATCGGGTGTTCCTTGGCCATGGCCACCTTGCTGAATCAAAAGCTAAGAGGATTTCTCAGCTACCAGGGTGTCTTCAGAAGCAAAGTGAAGTGTCAGCCAAGGTTTCACTTCTGAGGTCTTCAATATCCGTCACAGTGGTGACTCAATGACTTAGGGTGAGTCAGGGTGAGAGTTTTGGAGATCAAAATAGTTCCTCCTAGGCACTGCCTTCCAACTCATGCTCCCCGGCAAGGAGGTGCAACACTCAGGGTCATCTTTCTAACCCTTGATCTGCTTCCTGGAGTTTTAAGCCACTGGATTTGCACAGACACGCTGTCTTGTCACAGCTCGAGCTGAAAAATCAAGCCCCGTTGGCCCCACTCCAATTTTGGTAATTAGATTGGGCCCACCTTAACTTCCCCTGGGATTTTCAATTCGATATGGGATGCTTCCTCCCAAGCGGCTGTGATCTGTCACACGCCACCCTGTTAAATAGATACTGCATTCCACCCCAGAGGCAATCGGCTGCCCTTTAATGATGAGAAAAATTGCCCCTTTATCCCTCCCAACCCTGGGAATCCCTGAGGCAGAGTGAATATGTGCCTGGGAGTGGCTGGAGGGTCTCGGATGCCTTCCCCAAGTGGCCTGCTGAGTCCTCGAAGACATTCATTATTCTTAGGTGATTTGCAAACAGCTCGCATTGGAAGCTGCAAACACATTTAATCCAGCTGTGGCCAACTCAGAGCCTTTGATAGATGTTTTCTTTCCACGGGGCAGGGCCAGGTTGGCTTTTATAACTGAGTAATGAGGCTCATAAAAGCCCTGGTCACAGTGCACTGTGGGCTGCCCTGGGTTTGATCTGGCCTGACCTTTGTGATTTGCCAGCCCCACCTCGACATGGAGGGACCAGCCCTGGATGAGGATGAAACTGTCATGTGGGCCTCAGATGCCTGGGCGCCTTTACTTGCTGCCAGCCCTCTGCTTTTCTCTGCACTTCAGCAAATGTTCCTAGGATAGGGCTGGGGGCCTCAAAGCTGAGGAAGACACATTCCCTTCCCTTAAAGAGCTAGGCAAGTAAAAGCCATAGAAAATGCAACATTTTAAGTGCAAAGGAATAGCCAGAATGTATTCAAGGGCCGTATACTCTGAGCTGAGAGCTCTCAGATGCGATCTGCCGTCATCCTTCCACTTCTCCTCCAGGTGGGCATGTCACTCCGAGTTTACAGTGAGGTGCAGGCTGTTTACCGTGGTGGGGCTGGGATTTGAATCCAGGTCCCTCTGCCTCCAAAATCCATCTCCAAAACCCATGTTCCTCACTTGAGTCACAGGATGGGAACATCCAAGACAGTCAGGTGCGGGGTGGTGAGATGGGTGTCGGTGGAGGAGAGAAGTTTCCCTGAAGGAAGTGAGAACGTCAAGAATTGAATTCAAGTTTGCGGGGAAAGTTGGTGTTCCTCACAGAAGGAACAGCAGGGACAAAGGCATGGAGTTGCTGAACTGTGTTGTGTTGGGTGTTTCTGGAAGGTAAAACGGAAGCAGCAGTACGTGGGAGATTAGGCTGGATTGAGAGGCCATAAATAGATCTTGCCTTTAACTTTTCGTCAGGGTTTGTAAGTGGGGAGGGTCAGAAGCCAGTGAACAACCCAGGAACTCGCCGGTGGATGGAGGGTTGAAGGCAGTCTAGGTGCTCAGCGTCTGTCTCCTTGTGTCCCAATTCCTGCCATAACGGCTACAGCTTTCCCCATTCCATGCTTTTGCACCTGCTGTTCCCTCGGCTGGAAATGCCCCTCACCTGAAGACTTTCTGGATTTCTGGGTGGATTTCTGGATTCATCCTGTTGGAATTAATGTCCGTCTGTCTCTCTTTCTGCTCTCAATGCAGTTTTGTTTGTTTGTTTTGGAGTTTTTTTTGGTTGTTTGTTTTTTGTTTTTGTTTTTTTTTTAACCTCTATTCTAACAGATTTCATGTTTTTAAACAAATGTTACAAGTAAAGCACTAGTTAATCTTCCTAACAATCTGGGTGGAAGTATTATTTCCACCATTTTACAGATGAGGAAATTGAGGCTTAAGGAGGTTAAGAGCCTTTTCTAAGAACACATAGCTGGTGAATGGAGAAGAGGGGATTCAAACCCAGTTCTGTCTGAGTGCAAAGCCCGTACTGCCTGAAGTTGTCACCAGTCATGGCTGTTGCTGGCAGCGGATTGTCAAGCCCTTAAGGACACTCGGGTCCGTGTCTTAGTACAGAACTGCCTGGATTCCCAAGCATGTCTGGCCCAGAGTCACACACATGGCTGGTGCTCATGAAAGATCCATAGAGCTAGGCTGAAGGTTCTGAGCCTCTCCTGGGCATACTGAAGGAAGGGAAGGCAAGGGACCTCTCTAACCCATCTTGCCAAGAACACTGGTGAGTCATTAACTCAGCGTGCTCCAGCCTCCTGCAGGCTGTCCTTGGCTAAGAAAGCAGACACCTCATGGTGTTCTCAAAGAACAGGGTGGGAATCTTGGGCATGGAGTGACCCAGACCAGTGATGGGGTGACCTCATACAATGGTTGGTTCATTCCAGCTTTAATTTCCAGGAATCAAACCTGTCTCTCTATGATGCCAGCCACAAACTCATCAAATGTCTGGAGGTGTTTTGAAGGGGGAACCGCAAGCCAGAACAAGGAGAAGCCAGCTTTTATTTATAAGGGGAGAGGTTGTTGATTACACCCTATAACCAGTTCTTCCATGCAGATTCACAGCAAACAGGGAGGCAGCATGTCCCTGCTTTCCCTGTGGGTACCTTTGTTCTAAATATAAGCATCCACGCCAGCTGCTCCTCCACCACAAGATGTGAACCCAAGCACATTTATGATGACTTTTAGTGTCCTCCCTGACAAGGGGGGTGTCCCCTGCCTCAGCATGACTCTGAGGTGGAAGGGCCCTAAATCAGTCTTTTACGAGGCTCAATTGCCTGTCTGTCACCAAGCAGCACACAGTGACGCTGACACAGGGATCATCAGAAGAATAACAACTATCTTTATTGAGCACCTACTATGTGCTGGTGCTCTACTAGGTGCTTTACATACCTTTTCTCTAGTCATCGTAACTCTTTTATAAAGTTAGTGTCATTGCTCCGTGCCATGCTGTGTATACTGACACTAAGCTATGGAGAGATCAGGGGCCTTGTCTTACAGCCAGGAAGTGGCATGACTAGAATTCAGCCTCAGGTCTTTGTGACCCTTAAACTCAGTCCCCTCCGCCATCATGCTTTCCTCCATATTGCTAGGTGCCAAAGACTTGAGTTCCATGCCAGCATTCCTATGAATGTGCCTATAACTTTGGATCAGTTGGATCTGGACACCAACATTTTTAGAAAACTAAGGAGGTTGAAGAAGATATCACTTGGGTCCCCTCAAGCTCTCTGTGTTTGAGAAGTTGTTGGCTAAAGTGCAGTAGTGCCCCCGTGGCCAGGAATCCCAAGTCCCCTCCTTTGCTTGGATGGGCTGGCTCCCTTGGTCGTTGAGTGCTGGGGGAGGCTCCTTTGGCCATTCAGTGCAGAGTACCTCCTCTCCCCTTTTGGTGAGAAGCCTTTTAGAAGAAGCCCTGGGTGTGAGCCAGAAGGAGGCGGCCCTTCTATTGCATGGTTGGGAGAGTAGCATGATTCCTGTAACAAGCCCAGAAATCTCTGACAACCCAGTAGAACTTTGAATCAAGGCCTGATGAAAGGTCACAGCAGGAAGGGACCTCAGAGGTCATCTTGTCTAATTCCTTCCTTTTACAGATGGGGAAACTGAAGCCCAGAATGAATTAATGACCAAGCTGGGACTCAAGTACAGGTCCTATTTCTCTTTCATTTAATGTCTCAATATCAGAAGTAAAAGATAGACTCCCTTTCTTTTTTTTTTTTTTTTTTTTTTTTGAGACGGAGTCTCACTCTGTCGCCAAGGCTGGAGTGCAGTGGCCGGATCTCGGCTCACTGCAAGCTCTGCCTCCCGGGTTCCCGCCATTCTCCTGCCTCAGCCTCCCGAGTAGCTGGGACTACAGGCGCCAGCCACCTCGCCCGGCTAGTTTTTTGCATTTTTTAGTAGAGACGTGGTTTCACCGTGTTAGCCAGGATGGTCTTGATCTCCTGACCTCGTGATCCGCCCGTCTCGGCCTCCCAAAGTGCTGGGATTACAGGCTTGAGCCACCGCGCCCGGCCGATAGACTCCCTTTCTTGAAGGAGGGGAAGACAGACCTGAAAACAATGACAGTGTAAGTGTAAGGGTTATGCAGTCTCTTGATTTCCAGCCCAGTGCTTTTCCACTCATGCCTCCTGCCTCCCCAGGATGATATTTAGTAGGATTCTGGAACATCAATGTTACAGTGGCCTCTAAAGACCTGCTGGTCTTGGGATGGCAAATCTCTGGGCTGTGGGATGCTTCTTTCTCTTCCCTGATCATGGCAGACATCACAAGTGGCTCACCAAGGCCTCTTCGCATTGAGTCATGTGAGGCCTCAGTTTCTTTCACAGAACTCCAGCTAGGCACTACCAATCAATCAGAGTTGGCACATGAGATATACACTGCCTGCCATTTCTGATTAGCTCCACGTCTCCAACAATGCACACCGAGCTCTCACTGTGTGCCAGGCCCTGTCCTGAGTGCTGTGTTTTAGGTGCATCATCTCATTTATCCTGACAACCCTGACCTCAAAGTAGTTACTATCATGATTGCCATGTGCAGATGAGGAAACAGATCCCGGGGTTCCCAGCTCACCAGCAGTGGAGCTAGGACTCTGCCCAGGTGCCACGTCCAGTCCTCTTTCAGACAACCTGGTGCTGTGCAGGCCTTGGCTGCGTCTAGAAACTATGCCTTCCCCACTAGACTGCCTTAGTGACATCTTCCCGTTTTTATCTTTCCCAAAGGAAAAACCCCATCCTGAACTTCTCTGCTCAGCCTTCGCCTCTGCCCCCGAAGCCGCCTCTCCCAGGTCCTGGTCAGTATGAGATCGTGGACTACTTAGGCCCCCGCAAGCATTTCATCTCGAGCGCGTCATTCGTGTCTAATACCAGCCGGTGGACAGCGGCGCCCGCTCAGCCAGGCCTGCCTGGCCCAGGTCAGAGGATTGTTTTAAATGACTATAAAAACCAAATCTTCTGGAATTGTCATTCTTGGGTCGTCACATGCCCCTGATTTATAGGTTGTTTCCCAAATAGGTGACAGGGATGAGAGTAGTTTGGAAGCGTTATCCGTTCACATTTTCACAGTACAAAAGTGTTTTGTTTTTTAAGGTGAAGGGGCTCTTAGAGATGGTCCAGGCCAGGGATTCGTACTGAGGACCATGAACATCTAAAGGGCTCAAAGATAGTCTTGAAGGGGTCTGTGACTCTGCAGTTGGCTGCAGACTTGGCACATATAGACATTATTTTCTGGGAAAGGAGGCCATAGCTTTTGTCAGCGTGTCAGAAAAGTTCTTTGTCTTTGTCATTATTAATTTTTTTTACTTTTTTTTTTGAGATGGAGTCTCGCTCTGTCACCTAGGCTGGAGTACAGTAGTGCAATCTTGGCTCACTGCAACTTCCACCTCCCAGGTTCAAGCAATTATCGTGCCTCAGCCTCCCGAGTAGCTGGAACTACAGGCACCTGCCACCACACCCAGCTACTTTTTGTATTTTTAGCAGAGACGGGTTCTCTATGTTGGCCAAGCTGGTCTCGAACTCCTGACCTCAACTGATCAGCCCGCCTTGGCCTCCCAAAGTGCTGGGATTACAGGCGTGAGCCACTGTGCCCAGCCAGAAAAATTCTTTTTCTTAAAAATATTTAAACTACTGGTCTAGTGTGGCCAGGTTATTTTACAGCTGAAGAAGCCCTGGAGAGCAGGTTGGCCACAGGTCCGTGGCGAATTCATGGCGGGCAGTGCCAGGCGTTTCCCCATTTGTGCCTTGTTTGTTAATGAAATTAACCAGGGATTGTCCAATGGAGCAGCACTTTTCAGCCATCTAGCGCCACGCCCTTTTTACAGGCAAGCATAAGTAGGGATCACCTGTTATATCTGGGATCTAGCTGGGAGCTAATATCAGGAGGGACTCACTCCAATGGGCAGTCTCTGTGCTTCCTGACCTATTTGTAGCTCTCTATAGAGCGCTTTTGCTATTACCACACCCTGACCATGGCCAAAGCATTGGGGACTGACATGTGTGGCAGGTGGCACAGGAGGACGAAGGCAGAGCTGTGATGGCCACCAGCTTGGTTACACTCAGCCTTTCCGTGAGTGTTGACGATGCTCCTGTGCTCGGGAGCCAAGATGACCTGGGCCCTGGGTTTGCCCCCAGAGGCTGCAGTCAGGTAGGGAGACTCCTTCCGCTCCATACTCACAGGTGAGACTAACATAAGGCAGACTGGGCAGGGAGAAAGTCACTCGCATAGCTTTGGCCTTGCAAATGTGGTGATAATCACACCAGCAAGGCTATAGAGGTTTGATCTGGGGCTCATCTGGTCAGTCAAGGAGAACTCAGCATTGCAAACATGTATGTCCTCTATACAAGGGTGAGCTCCAGAGAGGGCAGGGCATGGGCAGGGATCCTGGCTTGACCCTGCTCGGCCACATCCTCTAGGAGCATTGCCCGAATGACTTTTCCATGCCATTTGTGGTGCTAGACACCTGGCACACAGAGACAGGCAGCTCCTGCTACTCTGATCACCCAGGCCAAGGTGGGCTTCTGCGAGGGGTTTCCTGGGCACATGTATGTGTCGGCATCTGCCTGCTCAGCTTCCAGTAAACTCAGATATACCTGGACTGCCATGGGCTCCCCTCAGCAGCTTCCCAAGTATAGGAACAGAGAGGCCGCACTCAGGACCCTCATTAACCAAGTCAGTATCAACAAGAGAGTTTCCGGTCGCCTGGGGCTGTGATTCCCAAGCCCTGTTCATCTCCTAGAGAACCATGTCTGCAACTGTCATGGCTTCTGCTTTTATGGAAACCCCTGAACTAAATCAAAACAAGACCCCATGAAGCTAATACTTTGCTTCAAGAATATTGTTTTACTCAATTTCTTTTCAAATTTCATAGAAAATAGTTTTGTAAATTTTGTTCTGTTAAAGAAGTTGAAAAGAATTAAAGAAGGTAGGAAGCCAGAGTTTGACTCCTGCCTGGGCCCGTTAAGAGCCAAATAACCTCGGGCCAGTTCCTTCCACTCTGTCTCCCCTCGTGTAATATACAGGGGCTGGCACAGGGCTCCCCAGGCCTTTCCAGCTCTGAGGTAGAATGCCAGAGACTGCTGCACTGGGCCTTTTCTCTCTTAATGCCTCCTCCTCTCTCTCCCCTCGCAGCCACGTACAAGCCAGAGCTCCCGGGAAAGCAGTCCTTCCTCTACAACGAGGACAAGAAATGGATCCCGGTGCTGTAGGGATGTCACACAAGGTCGAGGAGAACCCCTGCCATCAGCCCGTCCCGCCCAGCTTCCCCAGGACATTCCTCAGGAGGAGACTGACCATGTGTGTGGCAGCTGACAACTTGGGGGCCAGCTCTACCACTCTGGCCTGGCGTGCTAGCCGGACTGCTGCCATTGCCTTTGTCTTGAGCTGGAGACATTGCTCCCTGGAGACTGCACCCCAGCCCCACGGACTCCAGTGGGTTCCTGAGCAGAAGGGAGGAGTGGACAGAGCCCCTGGCTGCTTCCCCACGCACCCATCCAGGCTGGCTTCCGGCACGACTCCCTGCCACAGACTGAAGGGACTCCTGAGGTGCAGACTTCAAGGAGGAGCAGTCCACCCTGAAGGTGGCCAAGCCTGGAAGCCCCACCCTTCCCTGTGTCATTCCTTCATTCATTTACACATTCATTCATTCCCTCACTCCTGCCTTTCTCATTTGTCCCTTCCTGACCTCACTCACTCACTCACTCACTCACGGTATATCTACTGGGCGAAAGCTACCTGCAGGCAGGCGATGCTTTTTCCACCAGTCCACAGCTTCCTTTCTAAAGTGACCACCTGTTTGGAAAGGCCTCGCTTTACTCCTTTTAGACCTTTTTCTTCTTTGGAGTGGGAGATCATCTTGGAATGGCAGTGGCCGGGCCCAGGGGCTGTGCTTTTCCCTGACTTCCTCTGCCAGCGGGACTGAATTTTCTCAAGGCTTGCAGGCCCCTCCATGGAGTCCACATGGCCTGTCTAGGCCTGATATGGCCTGTCTAGGCTTGATAGTGGAGGCCAAAAGAAATGTGCCCTGGTGGTTTTGGTGGAGGCTGCACAGGTGCACGGTGGGTGGGGAGCTGCCAGGTTCCTTCCCTCATCTCCCAGCAGACTTTGACTGACGCTGTAAGTCTCTCTGTGCATTCACCCCGCCAGATACTGAGAGGTTACAAAGGCTCCAGGGCCTGTACGTCTGTGGCCTCTCCAGAGAAGTGGTTCTCCGCCTTGACTGCGCACTGTAACCACCTGGGGACTTTAAAAAGTACTGAGGCCTGGGGCCCACCCACAAATGCTGATTTAACTCCTCCAGGGTGGGGTCTGGGCAGTGGGGAGGCGGGGGGGTAAAAGCCACCCAGGTGATTCCAGTGACAGGTGAAGGTTGAGCAGTGACACCTTCCAGCTTCTTGACTGGCTCTGGGAGGGGAGCTGGGAAGGACAGGAGGTGGGAACTTTATACACACGGAGCACCTACAGTGTGGCTGCGGTTCCACACTCCTGTCATTTAACCTCCACGCATCACCTCATTCTGACATCACGGGGGCGTCACAGCCACAGTGAGGCCTGGCCTGGCAGAGCAACTCTGGGTGCCCCACTGGGGGCACGCCTAATGGGAACCCGAGGCAAAAGGAAACATCAGTAATACGAATCCTGTCTTCAAAACTGTGATGTTTTGTTCACCATGCATTTTTTTTTTTTGCCTTAATTTAAAAAATATTGCATTAAACTTATTTATCTTGATTATTGAGCTTTTGGGCACTCCTTAATTTTTGTGCCTTAGGCTAGAGACTCACCTGCCCGTAGCCTTGACTCTAGGTAGGGGTTTGGGAATTAGAACCACAGACTCTGTCAGCGCTGGAAGGTTCTTATAGGCATCATGGTTTTCACACTTCTTTAAAAAAAAGTTTTATTCAGACAAACGTTTACAAGAAATCCTATTTAAATGGGGAGAAGCAGAGCTGTGGTGATGGAGTTGGGGGGCGGATACACAGGGCCTGCTGCAGCCCCTTCCTCACTTTGTAGTGACCTTGGAGACCCACCAGTGAGTCCTGAGGCTCTGAAGATGATAATTACAAACAAACAACGGAGATCATGTCCTGCATTTCATACCAGAGAAACTGAGGGCTACAGGTAGCAGTGGCTGGAAAGTCTGCTCTCCCAAAGGAAGAAAGACGCACTTCAACTTGGCAGCTTAAAAAAGCTAAATGAGGCAATGAAGGAATTGAACTAAGAGACAAAAACTGGCCGTTCACGGTGGCTCATGCCTGTAATCCCAGCACTTTGGGAGGCCAAGTGGGGGGGGGGGGTGGATTACAAGGTCAGGAGTTCGAGACCAGCCTGGCCAATATGGTGAAATACCATCTCTACTAAAAATACAAAAATTAGCCAAGCATGGTGGTGGGCACCTCTAGTCCCAGCTACTCGGGAAGCTGAGGCAGGAGAAATCGCTTGAACCCGGGAGGCGGAGGTTGCAGTGAGCGAAGATCATGCCACCGCACTCCAGCCTGGGTGATAGAGTAAGACTTCATCTCAAGGAAAAAAAAAAAAAAAGATAAATGAAAAGAAAGCAAGCCTGAATCTGTGATTTGTTCTCTAAGGAAAATAAAGGCCTTGACTTGTAGCATTTGTCAATTTCTGACTGTCACCATGGCTGATTTCAGTGTGCCAGCACGACCACACTGCTGCAGAGTTGGGACGAGACGCGTGCGATTGCTTCTGTGAGCTGTAGGAGCTGGCTCCGGGGAAAGTGGCTTGGCCTAGGGAATAGGGGCAGAGCTGGCACAAGACTCAGGTCATGTGGCTCCCAGCCTTGGGTGCTGCCTGCTGGCCCCAGCTGTGAGGTCCTCTTCAAGCTCATTCTGCACCCTTCCCAGGACTTTCTCTTCAGAGTCAATGATCCTGAGGTTGTAACAGTCAAAGACAAACATCTGGGCATCAGGAATCTGCTGCCTTCCAGAGGCGGCACCTCTGCTCCACTGGTGCCCTGCACGTCCCAGCATCCTTCAAGTCCAGGACAACCCGCTGTCAGCACAGAGCCAGAGCGAAGGGAGACAGAGGAGCAAGACCCCGACCACTGTGGCCCTCTCTTCCCAACAGACTCTCCCAAAAAGAACGAGTGCAGCATGTGAAGTAATGTGACGTAATACATAGGTAGATTTTATTACTAAATACCACGTGAGTATACAAAATGCATCACTGAATAACAGCTAAAAAACAGCCCAAGAAATATGAAATACACATTTTTTGAAATGATAAAAACATATCCATGAAAAATATAAAATGTTGCATATATGTACAATATATTTATATATATATAGATAACATAAATGAAAATCGTAAATAAGAAATGTATACAACAGTAAGTGGCAAGGCAGTAGTTTCACACAGTGGTCACTTTGCCCAGTCAATCGTTGGTGCTATTTACATCTTGCGTTGAGGAAGTCTGAGAAAGAGACTCCACTATAGTGTCTTTTAAAAGTCATTTGCACTGAAAATCAAGAGTTTTCAAGTTAACTGACCAAAGGGTGAGAAACCCTTTGTCTGAAGTTGAAGGAAGACGGAGAGTGGGGGTCGCACCAGCTGGCGTGATGCTGCGGGAGGGAGCGTGTGCCGCCACCATGTTAACGGGCAGCCTGCAGGAGCGCCACTGCAGACAAGGGTCTTGGGAGGAGGGAACAGTCTTCTGGGTAGGTGGTAACCACGGTGACATTGTTTTGGGCTACGGGGAGGCACTGGCAGGAAGTTCAGGGAGCAGATTCAAGCATGCCATGGGGGTTCAGGCCAGGGAATCCCCCAGGTCTCTCCCTGGCCCTGACGTCTATGGGTCTGTGACTCAAGGGCTTCCTCCCTCAGGGAAGGCATTCAAGTAACAGCGCTGAGGCATGTGGAGAGGTTGTGTGTGGCGTGGGGCCACGTCCCTGCTGGCCCCTTGCAGGTCGCGAGGGTTTGGATGCTCGAGAGGCCTTACAGCTCCTTAAGGATGATCTGAATTTTGCCATCCAGCTCCCCCATGTCCAGCAGGAAGGCGACGTGGTTGCTGTAATGCTGAATGATGTTGTTGTCCATGTTGACTAAGATTCTGGAAGGGAAGAGGGGATGTGGTTGGAACACAGCAGGCGCCCTGTTTTCAGGCCTTCTGAGAGACCAGGATGAGTGACGGGTCATACCCAGTGGGTACCTGCCACATTTTAGGCACCTCACAAACTTTCCCTCTGATCCTCACAACAACCCCGCAAGGTCGGGGAGTCACAGTCTCCTTTACTGCACAATGCCCAGTGGCCGAGCCACAACTCAACCCAGGCCTGCTGGCCCCCACGATCACAGCTATTGCGCCGGATTGCCTCTGTCCTGGTGCACCCGAGGATGGACACTCAAGCAACTAGTATGTAGATCTGGGGGGGATGCAGTGCTCCCTTAGTCACCATATTGAGGACTCAGACATGAAGTGTGAGTTCAAGTCCAGGAGGGGTGGTGGTTTGGGTTCAACAAGAGGCCTGGATGTGTCACTCAGCCATGCCTGCTTGAGCCTGAGGCAGCTGCCACACAAGCCCCTCCCAGTTCCATTCCCAGGAAGCTGAAATCTCAGGAGGATTGTCTAATAGACTTGAGGGGCTAGGCCCACTCTCTCCCCATATTCTCCAGGGAAGGACCTGGGTCAACCTGAGAGAGACAGAACCTTCATGGCTGTGGGCCCCTGCAGGGAGTCAGAGCCATTGTTTATGCCAAAGAGCAGCCCTCTAGGAGCTGCTCCTGATGAAGGACCCACCAAGATGTGACTTGAGCTGATCACATCAATCTTCTCTTTGCCCCTTCCCTGCTGTCTTCTGAGCATGTAATGGAGTTGGCTATATCCACCCACACATTCACCATCCACCATCCATTCACATATAGCCCCCATCCATCATCCACCCACCCAACCACAGCCCCACCCACCATCTACCCACCCATACACACCTCCATCTACCATGCACCCACCCACTCACATCCCCATCTACCCTCTACTATGCACCCATCCACCCACTCATGCACCATCTACCCACACACTCACCCATCCACCATCCTCCATCCACCTGCCCACCTGGCCTTCATCTTCCCATTCACCCCTATATTCACTGAGGCCTTTCCATGTGCAGGGCCTTGCTCAAAAACAAGGACCATAGGGAGATGAATTAGACCTAGTTCCTGCCTTCCAGGAGTTTTGAATCTAGTAGGGACTGGGAGGATGAATCCTTATATTATCCCAGTTCATAGATGGGGAAGCTGAGGTTCAAAGAAACAGTTATTTGTCTAAGGTCACACATTTCCTAGATGGCAGGGCTGGGATTTGAACCTCTGTCTCTTTCTACTGTATCATTTTTAGAAGGAAACAAAGCCCTATAAGTACAAGTTCGGAAGCAGTGGATAGAAGGAGGGCAAAATCCAGGGCTACGGGAGAGTTCTTTGAAGTGGCGCAGGAGCGGCAGGCATGAGGACCCCCGACCCGAAGGCATGGCCCACATCCAGTTTTCTCTCCCTGCCACTTTCAGGAAGGAGATCCAGGCTTGTGCTCTCAGTGGTTTGAGTGCTGACTGCCAGTGTGTAATCACAGGCTCCCCTTTCTTGGGTCCTGCCTGGAGTTCCTTCATTTCACAGAGGGCTCTTTGTCTGGGCACTGGAGGTCGGAAACAGACCAGGGGAGACCAGAACTGGGCAGAGGGGAGGGCGCTTTGTCAAAATCAGGGTGCTTTTGTTTGCCATTTATTGGGTGCTTCTAGGTGCCAGGCGCTGTGAAGTACCTGATGTGCACCAGCTGGAAGGCTGGATCCCTCCCACTCCCCAGCAGGGCCTCCCAGCACGCTGAACTCACACCTGCTCACACCTGCCAAGCTCACACCTGCTCACACCTGCACAAGAGGGTTTCCAGATGGGCTCACAGACCCCTCCTCTCATAAGTCAGTGACAACAGGCCCCTGAGAGGCAGAACCACTGTCACCAAATGTGGGCCTCTTATTATTTTCCACCTTCTAGCTGTCTTCAGTCCTGGGTCACATTAAACCCCTGGCCAGCTGCCAGCAAAAACAATGTATTTGTTCATCTTTCCAGCACTTTGTGGTGCCTGTAAAGCTGATTCTATCCACCTTCATCCAGAGGACTTTCGGGAGGGTTTCATGAAAATAAACCAGGCCTTTGATCAGAATTTCCTGTTTCTCACATGAGGACTTGGAGGGAGGCAGAAGATGAGCCTGGACTCTCCTAAGAGGTATTTTGGGGAACACTGTCATTCAGACATTTCAGACAGTCCTGGGGCTGAGGTTTTCATGGCCGTGGGGGTGTGTGGGGTGCCTCTGAAGGCTGCTGAGTGATGCCCTGGGCTATGGTGCTGGACAAATAAACTGAGCAGTCTGGCTGCATCCTTTATTTGCACATTGCTTAGCGGTTAGAGGAACAAGCAGGAGGCAGGATAACACAGTGGATGACTGTACAGGCTTTAGAAATCGGGGATGCTTCTGCCAGTTCCTAACTCATGACCTTGTAACTACTGCAGACTTCAGTTTCCCCATACATACAAACGGAGATAATCATACCCAGCTCAAAGGGTCCGTGAGTGGTGCTCGGGAGGGATGCAGCCCAGTGCCTGGTGTGTAGGAAGTGCCCCATGAATGGGAGGTTTTAGAATTATGATTTCAATAGCTGGCTGGGGCTTAAGGGGAAGCCTCTGGCAACTCAGTCAGTGGGGCTGGGGAACATCCTTTATGCACACCCCACCCT